CGGTCAGTGACATTCACATTAGCGCGAAGTGCGATGCCGTAGAGGACACCCTGGATGTCGTTTTTCTTGATCGCGGCAAGAAGTGTTTCGTCTGGCGTTGGAAAACGAGACAACTGGGAGGGCAGTTTCTGAACATAGGCTCTTTCACTGTACTTCGCCGTAATGAACTTTAGACGCTGTTCCCGGGTTGAATTCTCTATTGGCTTTTGGGATTGATCCAACGTGGCCTCCCAGACCATGTTGCTAACACGGTTGCCTATTTGCAACAGTATTTCAACGATATCATTCGAGAAGGAATTCACATCAAGAGTGAGGGATCGGATCTTTGAAATGTGCGTTCCAAGGGACCTGTGAATTCCACTACACTCGATGCACAGAACAATCCCTAAGTTAATAGAAACCCACTCGACCTTGGATGCCGACCCGCAGTCCGCACACCAGTTATTGCCCTGATCAGCATCACGAACTGTCTGAAGCAGCCTGGAAGGGTTATCCTCAAAACTATTACCATCGCCACGTACGTAGCTTGGCCGTGCACCTACAGTCGTGCGACGGGTTACGCTGTTGTTTGACGTATTAGATGCAGTGGAGTGGGAATGTTGGCCTGAATACGAGGAACTTTTCCCGGTCAATACAGAGCCAATGTCACGACCAATGGACGAGTTATCGGTAGTGGGAGAGAGTGGTGGGGACATGCCACGACCCTCAACAGCACTTTGTAAGGCGTTGTTGATAGCCCGGATCCAGTTGCCCATATCCTCCTCGGACGTTGCTTGATAAATGCGCTTATACTGAGGAGTAATGACCTCGAAGCAGAATCTGCGTTCTGCATTTCGAGCCTCTCGTACAGAGGCCTTTAGTAGATCGATAGGATCCATGTGTAGGTCAAGCTTCTGCTTCCAGTTGCTATATTCAGATAGTTTCCCTTGGTCCAACACAATCCAGAACCTATCGGTAGAGCGTTAGTTAAGCGATAATAGCGAAGTAATTGAGGGAAGTGAATCATTAGCTTACTTGTGCCAGGCTTGTTTATTGATACCCTTCGGGTCGATGTGGGAACCTGGTCGGGATAGTGCCCATAGGAGCCCCTCCTTTCTTTGCTGACCTATAGCAATTATTAGCCCCAGTAAGCAATATCATTTTGTGGGAGTCGAGAAGTCTCTGCGACTTCTCTATGGAGGCATACCACTTAAGCTCGTAGAGGCAGGTGCTATGGTTGGACCGGCTGAAGGAATGATACCGGATACATTTGCTTGAGTCGACGTTGAAGTATTGCTAATCACGCTTCGTAGCTGAGATCCCGTGCTATCTGCACGCCCAAGTTCGTTCTCTGATCTCTGGGCTCCACTGCCATTCCCCGATAGCGTTGATGACACGTTCGAGTTGACCAGCGCATCAGGCTCAAGATACATGTTACTACTCTTTTCTAAGGCTCTTCGCTTCTCTTCCCTCTCTGTTCGCTGGAATTGAAACTCCTTATCCGCTTGACTGACCTCATGTATAAGCGCGTCTAGCTGAGGGATCATATCATCAACCTTCTGGGCGGCTAGAAGAAAGCGTTTTGCTTGCGTATCAGCGTATTTTGTGAGATGCGATAGGACCTCCTGCTCTTTACGTCCACCGTGGAGATCCTGCATGAATGACGAATAGTCGAACCGTTTAAGCTCAAAGTTCCGCCTTTTGGCTTGATACTTAGAGTCACTCTCCGCCCGCTTCTTCTCCTTCAGAGAGTCTTGACGTTGGCCGAGATAACGACTAACATAGGCATAATAGTCCCTACTTTCTTCCTCAAATTCCTTCTTTTTGGCTTCAGCTTGTTTTATGTCATTATTGTAAAGTTTAATCAACGGGTCGATAACAAGCTTTTGGAGCTGTCGGGTATTAGACTTCTCGTAGTCTAGGATCTGTCGTGCAATTTTTTCAAAGTAATGATCCAGTGCCGGTTGTATCGCATTGCCGTCCGGTGTTGAGGCGTCGTTGAGTGCGGACAGGAAGGCCTCTACGGCGTCATTGCAGGTAGTCTGAGCCTGCTGGGCCGCCTCGGCCTTTTTGAGGACCTTCTTTATCTTGGCTCGCATATTGCCTGTTTTTTGTTCCAGAGCCTTCATTGTAGCTCGGAATAAAGGACCGTCTTCAACAATGCTCTTATCCTCACCAGGTCGCGAATGGGGAAGGTCAACCTTAACAGGGGGTGGAGGGGGTGCCGAGAGTGGTGGTGGGACGAAAACGGAATCCGCATCTGGTGGAGTGCTGGGTGTAATCTGGGGATTAGATGCTGCATCTGCATCGCTAGAATGAGAAAGTACAGAGTGCGATGAGGGTATACGGTGCCGTGGAGGAACGCTGAGTTCTAACCTTGGTGATAAGATTTGAGGGCTCGGCAAGGCGCGCATAGTATTCTGTACCCAAAAAGAGAAATGAGCAAGTGTATTCAGCCGGTTGGCCCTTTGGTCATATTCCAAGAAACTGCAGCTGTTTCTCCAGCCGCCCCCTTTGTCCTCTACTGGTTTGGGCGGCTTCCATCTCCACGACCATTCGAATTGCACAGATGGACTGCCGTTCGTGGAGTAATCTCCTACAAACTGCACATTTGAATTATTCTGTAAATTGGGGTTGGCATGAAACTCCCTTGTGATTAGGTTGTCTAGCTCCTTTGAATTCGGCGCATGCGCGAAAGTTAGCCCTGTAAGCACGGTGTCCGCAACCTCTGGGAGAGAAGTCGCGACACCATTGACAGTAGAATTCGCGACATTGCCGGTTTGTGTCTGTCTCAATATGAAAGTGAAATGGAAGTTCAGCTCGTCTTCGTTGGAAAGCCGTAAAAGGAAGGTAGGCGCTGGGGAAGAAGGGGGAAAATCAGGGTCCTGTACAATACAGAAAAGGAGTGAGCAAAGGTTCTAGAATCACGTTATTTAGGTACATATTCAATCTATACCTGGATGTATTCAATCGGAGTGTCATCGCCGGTATCACGCTTGGCGATGTATCTGCTTGCAGGGAATGAATTTGGGGTGAGATTCAACAAGACTCGCCTCCTGGAGTTCAGTATAGTCACAGATGCGATCGCAACTGCGTGGGCCCATGCTGTTAGCGATTGCGGCTACTATGCAAGGACAAAGCGCGGATGGGCTTGAAAATAAACACAAACAGAGCTTTGCGGGGCATGTATATAGGAGCCGCATGAGTTGAAGACGTACATTTGTTTTGGTCCTTAAAGTATAGACTTCCCGAGTCGTCCAGCCGGCTTCCAACATTTCCCATGGTGGTATAATTCAAGGGGTCAAGTCACCGCTCGAGAGTGTATCCGGAGAGGGTACCGGGACAACTGGAGGTAACCATCGACGGTCTGCGCGCCCACAATCTGATGAAATGGTGCACTGCTAACGATGTGGCTGCAAACGTAACCAAGCAAATGAGCCGTCATCCAGTCTGGAATCCGGTGGTCAGATGCTTGGAGCGGTTCGTACTTCGTAAGTTGCGGCAGAAAGAAGTTGACTGGTACTGAGGACAGATAATGAGATGCGGTCGGAGAGAACGAAGAGGGGGCTTAAGGGAAGGAAAGAATTCCGCGGGCCTTGTTTAGTCTTGAACTAACAGATGTGGTGGCAGCTGGGATGTATAACAGGGCTTGTTGGGGACTAAGCGAGTGGGAAAAATAGGAGGCTGATAGCAACATGAGTTTGAAGGGGAATAAGTGGGTGGTTATGATTATGATTGATGGATGAGAGTCCGGGACTTGGGGCTCAGACTGTGGTGCCTGAGGATTGATTAGTCGCTGCATTGCTTGTCCCGCGCGCTATGAATGATCTTATTAAATAGGGTCCATGTTGCCCCTCGATAATGGGTCCTCAGACGTACGTTGACTCCTTTCCGCCGATATTATCCTCAATTTTCCTATAACACGAAACAATAAGGTTAAAATAGCTTCCAGAAATTTAATTGTTACTCTCACCTACTACTTTCAAGTCTCTGGTTCCGGTTTTCACCTAGCCATGATATAAATCGAGATATGGTGCGGTACCTATGTGGAATGCAATGCAAGTATTTAAAATTAATAATTCTCCACATTTGGTATGTACATATAACTGACCTTTAGTATATAACAAAAGTTGCTTTCCATCTCTCTCTCTCTCTCTCAAGTCCCCCTTGAGTTTTCTATAGCCCCTTCACAACGTGATCCAAATCTATCTGAGTCTCTCTCGTAGCCTAAATCCTTTGCATGCTCACCCTCTAGGTTCACAACATTCCATGCGGCCACCTAGAACATGGTGACCTGGGAATTGAGTTACCAGTGCCATTGGGGCTGGTCATATGGTATCATACTATAACTGGAAGGAACTTCTGTAGGTAAAACTTATAGTAGTATGCCGCGATTCCATTTATGTAGGCTCCAGAGGTCAGGTTATCACAATTTTCGCCAATACAAAAGCAGAGCCTGAGACTCTGCTCTTCTTTTCAATAGAATTCATACACCTATAGGATAACGAGGATGTAACTTTGAGCCCAACGCATCTTTATTTCTATAGCCACGTTGTCTCATCTGTATTTCCGTTTAGCTCCCAATCTGCGCTTGTTTTTACTCAGCTGCAGTGCCCTAGATTATGGCAAAGGGAGGAAAACCATTAGAAGTATGATAATGATATTAACATTGATATACATTAGAAATTATCAGCAGCTCAAGGAAAAATGAGTCTTAAAGATATAGTTACATCCTTTCAGTAGGCATTAAGGCGGCAAGGATTGTTTCCTTTATCTCTTTCTTGAGAGCCCATTTTGGTATACCGTATACGCACCCTTTGTTGGCGTTGTATGTCGGAAAGAGCATATATATCTTTACTTAAACGGGAAGTAAAGAAGGGAAAAAACGGTCGCCAGGAATGGTATACTAAATTAGGAAACGAATCGGAGCTCATCAAGGTATCGAATGGGCAATGGAGTCAAAATATTGAGGGAGTCACGTCCTTCCAAGCCCAGTATTAGGAGACAAGGAAAAGTTTGGTTCACAGCTTGGTAGAGCTATTGTCCGGTTGTTTATCAGGAGCAGTACCTTCTTGCGTGATTTTTGAGGGTCGATTCCCTGAAGCAGAAGTCGGCTTCATCTCCTCGCCGTGTGCGGAAACACCTGTACTTTTGTGCCCCGCCTGTGCCCACTTCATGACCTGTCCTTTCACATCACGCATGTCGTGCACCTTCTGGGCAAACTCGCCTCGCTTCTTTGATGCGATACCACTGCGTTCATCAAGTTCTTCCTCGTCTGAGCTCGATATGGAAAGTGATGACGCGCTGCTCTGTTGGAGGAAGGTCATCTGACCACCTTCCTTGTTCTTGAATTCTCTCTGCTCATCTTTCAAGTCTCCCATTCTTTCAGCATCTTCTGTACAGTCCAATGTGGTGATATGGAGACCGATAAAGCTTTCTGAAATGAATTTCTTCAAGAGAGGAAGCTTCTGACCATTCGGGCGATAGGTACCGCTATCATTATCAATGAAAAGCTCATAGTCTGCAGGGTTAGTTGATATCTCTTGATCCTGTAGAGGTTCTTCCACGGGGATTTCGGTATCCGAGGGCTGAGACATTTGCGAGATGTGCCGTCGGTGATGTTTTCGTCGACGGAGAAAAAACTCTCCAGAGTAAGCGATATATATTGAAACATTGCTGTGCATCGTATGTTTGCTTAGCAAATCAATTCCAAATTCTTTTCCCGTTTCAGTAAAACGAAACTGCCCATCGAGAGTGAGAACATATGTGAATATTCTCCCACCCTGAGCATAGTGGGTAAATTCAAGAAACTTTTGGGTAAGTTCAGTGCACGGCGACTCGGATTGGCCATGGAGGGTTGATCTGTCAAAATTATAAATTCGCTGATGCTGGTGATGTAGAGCTCGGTTGAGGATACGACCTCGAAGACTCTGCGACGTAAACATTCCCGCTACGAACGGTTTGAACTCTACGTAGCGATGGTAAAGCTCTGCCGGCACAGGACCCTTGAGCTGTATTTGAATGGCTTGAAAACTGTACCAATGTTCTGTAATGAGCCATTGTTCTTTAGTTCGCTAGGGGAGAGAGGAACGTACTTGTAACGAGTGATTGTCTTTTTACCATTCTGACTTTGAACTTCGTCTTTGGTGCCGGCCAATCGTCCAATAAGTGGAGAAAAATGCTTAAACCAGTAATTTGGTCCTACAGTATAGACCTGGCCCCCTTCCTCACTTGGGGTCTTTCCTAAACACTTTACACTGATGACGAGATGTGATCCGACGTCCAGACGCCCAGAAGCGAGAGCGGCAATGTTTCCGAATAAGTAGACCCGCTTGCTGCCCGTGCGCTTCTTGACCTTGAATGACTGCTCCTTGATACCATTCCAGTGGCCCGAAATAGAGTCCACTTCAACATATGCATTCCCTAGCTTGTCATCGTGATCTGCCGCATCCTCATCATAAACAGTGCATTTGAGCTGGAACCCTGATGCGGGCACATTCGCAACGATCCATTCACTCTCCCACACGGGATCTCGATTTTTGCGTATTGTTGGTGTTCGGAACGTCAGATTGTTATCCTGCTTATGTCGTTTGGGAATATCGACATTTAGCTGGGCTACCGTGTATGGATCAGAGGAGAAGCTTCCGAAATCACCACAGGGAAGGTTGATGCCTCGATGAAAGGTGAATTTAAGGGTGTAGCCTGGTGGTGCATGGGGAAACGGAGTGCTATCGAATCCACCGGCGGGTTTTTGTTTCGTAGAGCCACCGGTTAGTGTACCCTTCATAGCCGCCGCTTGGTTCTGAAATTGCTTCGTGTTGTCAGCAAACCTGGGTGCGTATTCATCGGTCAAATGTCGTGGCCGCGCTTGCGGTAGTGTGACTTGCATTTTCGGGTTTTTTCCTTAACCCCCTACCTTTTTAAAGCCAGGCGGACAGGATAGTCGTGGTTTAGATTAGGTATTGTTGCTGCCTACCCGACAAAGGTTCGGAGGAATCTGCGGGAACTGCGGGACTGCGTCACTGCGCAGATACAAAGATTTGAAAAGCCAGTATTTAGCTTAGCAAGCGCATTAAAAGAAGAGGGTCCACACGGGCGCACTATTGTCCATTGACACCTAGACAATCAATATCGTCAAGGGAATCATATGACTTATCATTGCTTCAGACAGTCCCCCAATTCCCATGGCTCTTCGGTTCAGGGTCCAAGAATCGCTAAGCTTTTTTTTGCTGATCTCATTTTTCGGGGGGCCGCCAAGGATGGGTTAAGGAGCCAGAATCTGCTTCTGGATTTGAATTTGCTCACTCGGGGAAGGATCATATAAGGAGATGGATGCAAGTGTAACTACCATCATCTACTCCATTCCAGGAATGTTTATCTCCTTCTTTATTGAGTATGGGGTTTCAACCAAAACTCGAGAGTAAAGGAGCCGTGACATCATCGATAGGGCTGAAGGATCAAGCATTATCTGCATACCGATCTAGCATATGAGGTGTCATAATCGGGTCTTCTGTCAGGACACTTCTAATGTCATGGATTCATGCCCTATTGCCTCTCCTACCTTAAAAGTAAAGATAAATAAAATAAAATAAAATGGAAAAAAAAAGAAAGACAAAGGGAAGAAAAGAGAAGGGAAGAAATAGCCATTGAATGTGAGAGTAACGGCCACAATGATCTACTTGTAAATATTCTAAACGGCCTAGAAAGTTCAAAGCTTCTCAAAGTGATGTTGAGCTCTTGGAGCACTCTGTTGGAAGTCTTTTGACCGGCCCATGTTCGACTTGTTCCATGAAGCACACAAATAGATAGGCATTGCCACGTATAATTAAGAGCCCCGAAATAAGAATTGCATATCCTCTGGAGTGAGCTTCTCCAAAGCCTCTCCTTGATCTTTGTTAATGGTTCCATTGATCAAGTTGGCTTTCTTTTCCTGTAGTAAAACAATTCGAGATTCAACTGAATCCTCAATGCATAGCCGCGTAATAACACATGGCCGACGTTGACCAATCCGGTGGCATCGGTCCGCACTTTGCCACTCAGCAGCTGGGTTCCACCATCTAACAGACATTTGTAAGTGAGACATACAAAAACGCATCGAATGGCTGCTCTAGGGGAAACCTACGGGTCAACAATGAAAACTCTTGATGCCTCGGTAAGGTTCAAGGCCACGCCCCCTGCTTTGAGTGACACGAGAAATACCTCGACATCTACGTTGTTCATGAAAAAGTCAATTGACTTCTGCCGTTGTGCAGGTGTCATAGTTCCATCAAGCATGACGGTGTTAAATCCAGCCCGTCGTAGGCGCCATTCAACAAGCTGTAGCATTGAAGTGAACTGGGAGAAGACGATGGATTTGTGCGTTTGCTTCTTGCTTCTCAGTTTGTAAAGCTCATAGACGAGCATCTCGATCTTCGTTGACGATGTCCAATTTTCCATTCGAATTCGATTTATTATGGAGTTTTTCTTGATATGCTCCTCTTCCTGCTCTATATCTGGCTGCTCGAAATCAACTGAGAGTGGGATATGACACCTAGGGCAATCGACAACTGAGCCCGCATCAAACGATTGCACATAGTCCTTGGCACATCGGCGACAGAATTCATGGCGGCAGCGAGACCGAATTGCCTCCTCCGCCGGTTCATCGCAAATGCTGCAGACAAGGATGTTCTGGCCACTCTCGGCGTGCTTTTTCAACATCAGGTCTGGGTGGTTTGCAACTTGCCGCATCTGCATAATAAGTCCAAATATGTTGGCATAGTTATTCAACATTACACCACGGCTCACGTATGTATCAAACTGCCGCGTTGAGTTAGTCATGACGCTTCTGGAAAAGTCGCGTTCAATCTCCCCAAAGAATTCGTTGTGTAGAACAACACTGTAACGTGTCAGCGCATGGATTCAGTATGATTGTGCCGGAGTATACTAACCGCTTCGGTGGAAGCTCCATCGAAGCTGTGTGATCTCGCTTAAGGCGTCTTAGCATTATTCTGTCAGTAATTAAACGTAGCTTAGACAGTGCTTCCTTTCGAGCTTCCGGATTATTTCTCTCGGTGACTATACCCAGTTAGAGCGGAATTGCACGTTGCTGTGAAACACTTACTAGGGTTTAGGATCTCCTGATTAAAGATTGAGACATGACTAAATCCACTGCAATGACCGTTAGCGTTAACAAGAACGTACAGATGAAACTCGTATGATTATACCTGTGTTTACAATGGGTACAGCGTTTCCCCGCATCTTGCGACCAATGGAGTTCCTGGCACTTGCACTGTTTGCAAAAATAGCAAGCAAAGGGACGAATTTCTAAGAAGCGCAGGAGAGAAAAAAACTCCCCGATTCGGTTTTGAACAGGGGTACCAGAAAGGCACCATTTGTATGTGGCTTTAAGTGCGAAACACGCACGAGCGACACTTGTAGTTCGTTGCTGGAAATGTCAGTCCGTTACATTAATCTCGATAAAGGAATTGAGCTTACCTTGATACTATGGGCTTCATCTAGAATAAGACGATGATAGTGTATGGAGTGGATAATACCTGTTATATGTTAGTGAGCCCACAGGTTGCATCAAGGACGTCGATACTTACTATCTTCCTTCACAATCCCATCGCTGCGATTCCACCCTTTCCATTCTTTTCGGTGTATTGACTCAAGACCAGAATCTAGCCCGGACGTTAGAGATGAGACAACATTGTGGTTATGGGCTGAAACACACAGGAGATCATAATCACGTCATATGTTAGAAGATCATTCTCTGAGAGCGACTTGACTTTGGGATTCGAATTGTGATATACGAGAACCTTCAATTGGCCGTTTGTGTACTCCTAGAGAAAGGTGAGACCACTTCTTACGCTCACATATATTAAGACAAGACAAACCTTGATCTCGGATTGCCACTGCATCAGAGCAACGGGGGGGACGACGACAAGGGATGGCTGCCCGACAGGATAATCAGACATGAGAAGGGAAACCGCCTGGATCGTCTTTCCCATGCCCATCTCATCCCCTAGTAAACCGCCCTTATACTGGGACGCCTCTTGCCGCATCATCCAATTCAGACCTTCCAGCTGGAATGACTTGAGATTTCTCGATATGCCAGGGGGTTGTTCTGCTGCGACTGGGATAATAGGAGGACTGTTTCGTAGTTCATCCCACATTTTCATGATATATGGATGTTGCATCTCGAGTTTTTTCCGCTCTCTCAATGCCTAGAAGTGGCGTTTAGAGCGCATTCTATGAGATCGTATATATATAACTCACACGATGGGACATCCCTAGCCGGCTAGCTACCGGTCCAGTGGGCAAGGAAACTACCGAAGCCCGTGCCCGCGTTCGAACGCCAGCTCTTGAACTAGCCGAAAAGCCGATCCTCTGATTGACAGGATCAACATCCACATTTGACATAGAGTCACTTTCGGAGAGATATTCTTGTTCATCCCAAGACTCATCCTCCATGTTGGTGCTACTTTCGCTATCGGATACCATACCCCGAACAGAGTTCCTCATCTTGCGTGCAGGACACCGCTTGCTGATTTCTACTCCTGTGTCATTCCCTTCGTTGTAACTTAATCCCGTCAAAACATCATCGTTGTCAGTAGAGTCCTCCACTGCAAAACTAACGCCATTTCGAGCCTTGCGTCGTTTTTGAACAGACCCTTGATATTCTTGAAGCTGAAGAGCCTGAGCAAAGGCTGCATCTGAGCTTTCAGCAGTAGGGTCGTCTGTAGTTATAGTCGTAAAATCTCTTTTGGACCCCTTTCGCGTGTCGAGGGACATTATACTCGAACGCAGTTCCCGAGCGCGAGCGGAAGCACTAACTCTTTTTCTTGCTTTGGTCATGTCCAACTCGGCGGGAGTAACTGCCACGCTACTTGCTGGGGTACTGTACACATTCATATCATCCCCAGATATATCCTCAATCAAGTCAGAGGATGAAGTAGACCGGGTAGGCGACTGTTTTTTCAAGGGGATAGCGACTTCGACAGCTGCTAACCTGCTGCCGTGAAGCGGTCTGAGAGTACTCGGATTATGCAACCCACGTTCTTTATCCGCAGTAGTGTCGCTTTTCCTGGCATCAGAGACAGAGGAACGTGCCAACCTTGAAGAGGTGCGCCGGGGCAGTGCAGAGGTATCTGGAAGAGTTTTTGATCAGATTAGCAATTGATTCCACTCTCAGTTCGTTTCTTTGTCTTTTGTCTTCCTTCATGCTTAAAGACTGATGATAGTGGGAATATATGAGAGTCCTTAGAATCAGTGCACTCACCTGCGGTTGAGACCGCCTGAGGTCCGACCTTAGTTGTTCTCTTCCCCATATTGACCTCTGGATAAATCCCCTTTATCCTGTCTGTAAATTGAGAGGATAAAGAAAAGGAAATAGTAAAGCAAGTTTGTACTTGATATGACGAGTGCTATCGTTTCTGAGGCAAAAGCCTGCAAGTGGCAAATCTGGTTGTTGCATATGGTACCTGAGCCTAGGCTCCAGCTGCGGGTATCGGCAAGGGGAACAGGAATATGGATGGATAAATGTGTATCGGCAGAAAAATTTTTTTTTTCACCACTGAGTCATAGTGTCGGTCTTCTCTGCTGAAAGCATAAATAGTACATATCTATTTCATGTATTGTGGACGGTGCCTTTTCAAGTCATCCTTCCTGAACACGATAAGCGCCTTCGCGTAAGGTGGAACGCGAAATCACCACGGGTCCTGTGACTTCATATTACCTCTTTTGGCCCTTTCCGGACCCCCTTGAAACTCTTATCTTCAACACCAACTCTTTTGAGAGCTTTCCACAGAATGTAGGTGAAAATTTCCTCAATGATGACGAATGTATTCACTAACTAGTCAAAGGGCGAACAGAAGACAAACTAGAAATCAAATAAGAGGCCCGTATGTAATATCCTACAGAATGCGTCCTATTTGTGTTGTAAAGCTGATAGAACGATTATAGACACTCTGCCCTTACTGACTTCTTGGCTGTGAGTGGCTACTATGCCACCAATTATCATTCTATCTTTGGTGTTACCGCTGACCAAAGGTTTTGGTTTAGTCTAACAATATATCCGCTGCTCAAATTCGTGAAGATTACCGAAGACGTTTAGAGGAAACTGAACGTCAAGCTGCCAGCGAAGAGCCATCAGGCCCCGCAGAGAGCGACGAAGCTGAAGAGAGCGTCGATGAATCCCCGGAGCAGAGAAAGAAGCGTAAGCGAAAAGATGCCGCCAGTTTAGCAAAAATCAAACAGAGCAAAGAGTTCGCACGTCACAAAGCTCGGCGAATAGGGGAGCCAGATGATGACGATAACCTCATTGCAAGAGAGATCATGTCCCAGAGATCTCGACGCATGCCAGGTCAATTAGAGAATTGTGAAATCTGCAGTAAACGCTTCACGGTTACTCCATATAGCAAAACAGGCCCCAATGGGGGGCTCCTTTGTGCGAAGTGCTCCAGGATTCTAGAAGATGATGGAAAGAAACCTAAGGCTAAGAGACGTGGACCAAGGACTGGACGCCGTCAGAATCAGAGCAATTTACTTGATGGTATAGCCCAACAAGGTGCTTTGAGCTTGGCCGAAATGTGTACAAAGGTATGCGTACACACACTCTCTCTATTTTTATAAAACCATTGCAAACCAGAGCCGTTGTCTGAATGCTGACGTATCTTATCTAGAAAATTGCTGATAATATCAATGATATCGAAGAATTTGGTGACCTACCTTCTCCACTACTTCATCGCCTAAGCCAGATTCTATCCAAGAGACGTGCCTTGACATCGAGGACCCTCAATCTGTTTCTGCGACCTGATTTGGACTCAATTAACATTTATGACTCCGCTAGTATGTATATTTATAGATCTACCTTTGGCCGTTACCTGATCGCATCCTAGAACTCGAGACGGACGATTTCCAGAAGATATTTGCCTTCATGCCTACTCTTACGAATGTCAACCTTCGCTTTGCTGGTCAAATGAAAAATACAGTTGTCGAATATTTACTGGGGCGCGATCTGAGGTTGAAATATTTGCAGTTGGATGCTGCTAACCTGGTTTCAGACTCGTATTGGCGACGCCTGTTCGAAAAACTGGGTCCCCAGTTAGAGGCCCTAAAGCTCTCCAACCTTGATTTTTCCCTTGACGATGAGACCGTTGAAGTGATGTGTAGAAACTGCACAGAACTTCGTCGTCTGAAATTGAAGCAATGCTGGAAGGTTGGCCATACCTCCTTGCAAGCTCTCTCGTCCTTGACATCATTAGAGCATTTGTCTCTAGACCTCGTTCGAGAGACACCAAGCGACAGCCTTATAGAAGTAGTCTCTGCGGTCGGCTCAAGGTTACGTACACTATCTCTAGAAGGCTTTCCCAATGTGGACAATTACCTTCTGGAGACCATCCATGATAAATGCCGATCCCTTGCAAAACTTCGTTTGTCAGGCAATGTTGTGTGCACCGACGAAGGTTTCGCGAAACTGTTCTCTGAGTGGCCAAACCCTCCTCTGGAATATATTGATTTCTCCTCTACACGAGATGTGGATAACTCAAATCCGGACGGCCGTAGGGATGCAATTGGCCTTGCCTCTGACGGCCTCGTTGCCCTCATGAATCACTCAGGCTCAGCGATACGGAAACTGAATGTATCGTCCTGTCGCCACGTATCGCGTGCTGCCTTCGAGGAAATATTCTCAGATAGCAAAGTTTATCCCAACTTGAAGGAATTGGATGTCTCCTTCCATACCGTCATGGACGATTACCTCATAGGCCGAATATTACAATGCTGCCCAGTAATCAAGAAGCTGGTCGCTTTTGCATGCTTTAATGTGAGAGATGCCCGGATCCCCGTGGGTGTTGCATTGATTGGAGGACTTAAAGCACAAGACACAATTGCTGTCGAAGGCAAGTCCTAACCTATGAGACTTGGCATGGAAATCGTATCTTTAAAGGGCCGCAAAGTTGTGGTGGAACGACCAGGAGGTAGTTTCTGTCCTATTTGGTTACAATACCTGCTTATCCGGCCGGGTGTTGGAGAGCCCGTTCGCAAGAACTAGGAACAAGTTTAACCTTACTCGTTCTGGTTTCTTTGGTTGATTTCGTTCCCAGTGTCTATATTATTTAACTTTTCGTATGCTTGCTTCATGCCTACAATGTGACTAGTTGACAATGATTCTTTCATAGTACGAATTGAACGGCAGAGTAGGTTGTAGGCTTTCAAAGATTTTGCTCTGTACTGTTTAGATGTGCCCCACACAAATACAGTACATTCCTCGAGTGCCATGGCCAGAAACAATATTTGAAGAGAACAATATAGTTGCTTCGTGCACGATAGGATATAGCATAATGCCTAGCGGTCAGTAGGTGTTGCTATGGCAGAGCTCATCTGCCACGAATGACAGCGACCCGCGTTGTCCTAACTTTAATACATGATTGCTAGCCCATAGCATGGCGTAAGGGACTCGTCGAATGGCGGGGTCTACTACTGCATCTGCCGTTAAATAGCTCTTTGAGATAGATCATGCTATAGGTAGGTAGTCATCTTGTCTTAAAGCAGCATAGCAAGTGGAGCCTTGGGCTGCAACAATGATAGGTGATTCTGGTCAGAAAGGAAAAACCCTTCTCCACAGTATGAAACCATGCAATTGTTGGTTACGGATTGATACTTCTTCTGTCCGTTAAGGGTACCATTGTTGTGGAATGGAAACAGAATATTCTTTAAATAGTATAATTAATGATGATCACCTCGTAGATACTGTGTTACGATAACTACGGAGCGTTGGGTGGGAGATCTCAATTGAGGATAAGCAAGTACTTGGGTCAGTCAATGTACAGTAAAAGTTATTTCGTATGGTGTAGTGAACCATGGAAAGTTTATTATTATCTTCAATGCTTCGTACACATAATGCCCTTTATTTTCCTCTTCTTATCCTTTTCTTTGCCCCTTGGATTCTCTACTCTAGTCACCTAAATAACCAAATGAAATGTAAAGTTGTTACAAACAAGACCTAGTGTTCAAAATCTTGGGTAGAGTGTGAACATTCTTGTACTTCATACCAGCGAAGAATTTGGTTCCATGCTTGTTTACCAATGTGACTCTCCGAATTAGGTGGGAATTTTTAAGGGAAAGGAGGAAGCCTAAGAAGACAGGGGGGGCGAAATAATAATAATCAAAGAATAAAAAAACATAGAGAGCTAAATAGTTAGTTACAGACTGCTAGCTTATTTAACGGAGATAAGGGCAAGTTCTGCTTGGCCCAGGTATGTCAAGTTTTGCCACATCGCCCATCATAGCGGCTCAGCTTGCCCCTGAAAAGACCGCTAGACTCCTAGTCTGTCATTTTTACGCTTCCAAATTAACTCTCTTATTTTCTCTTCCTGCTCGACACCAACAGCCTATGTCAGATACAGCCAAATTAGAAGGTCTCAACAGTTTTAAAGATGGAGCTGCAGTTTATAGGGATGGATTGTCTTTTGCTCTGTTCCGTACTTTGTTTAATACCTTACACTCGAGTTCCTTGGCAAGGAATTTGTGATGCCCGCTCAAGGAAAATCATTACGAGGCAGCAGAAATACAACAGCAATCTTCCCCCTTTGGAGATAACTAAAGTGAAAAAGGGCCAAGATCCTTACAGAACAAGACTGAGTGACAAATCTAGACAGGCCGTGAATCCATGAAGCCTGGTTGGACGTTAGCATAACCTTAAATAGCTGGACACACACAAAGATCGGCTATTCAGATAGTACTATCTATCGAGGGAGAGACGACCATAATTAAATAAACGATCGTACGTTTTTGTATTGATAGAAGGGTAGCACAGAGTGATAAGAGTATGGAAGCACTATGAAGCGCTAGTCTCGGGCCACCATGTCCACATGGAAGTTTTATTGACCAAGAGAAAGTCTCGGTTTAAGTGGCTCTAACATGCAAAGTGGTACTGGCTCTGATTCGCTAAATAATTCCTTGTTCTCCTGAGGCCGGTGCGGGCCCCTACCGCCCGGCCTGAATGGAGGGTTAACCGTGGAAAAGACTAGACAAGTGAGTACACAGTATGTATTCCGTCGGGTACTAGGATTCCTAGGTTGTTTTCTTTTCTTACTATAGGTAGCAGGTGTCGCTGTCTTTCTTCTTGAAATATTTCTCTTTTGCTTGTTCATTACTTTTCCCACCAGTTTTTCTTTTTGTGCAATATTTTAGACACCTCTCCTACTAGTCATAAGTGCTCTTGTCCACTCCGAGGAAGCTGAGGTCACACCTTTTTACTATATTTGGCGACCAGACTAGCGCTCAGCTCCACACTCCACATCCCCTAAGGGTGTGTTCATGTTTGGACCTGCTCATCTATCCATCTCTTCGGTACATAGTACTTATTTTACTCCGTGCAGTAGTCTTACTTTCTTGTTAATAGCTCTCTCACACTCTCTCCCCCGTTCTCTTTTTTTTTTTTTTTTTTTGGTTAAACCCTCCCCTCTACCTATAAACCGGTTTCCTCTTTGTCCCCATTTTTGGCACCCTTTTTGCGTCCTCCGCTGCCCACTTTGGACAACGACCCTCTATTTTGTCTTATTATTTGTTTATTACTTTTTCTACTACTACTACTACTACTACTACTACTACTACTACTACTATTATTATTATTATTATTTTCTGTATACTAATAATAATCATTCCTGAGCGCCGCTTCTGGTATGTGAGGGTCCTGTCTTAGCCAGCGTCAATTGCCTATGGACAGTTGTGCCAGAAACTTACCATCTGACCACTCCGCTCATTCTCTTAGCATTCTCCTAAGGCCCCTTAATATCTCGACACCACAGCCACTAACTGTTCTTCTCATTGCTTTTGGCTGTCTGGGACTGTCATTTCATTCTTCGGCGTTCTTTCAACTAAGCCCCACCAAGATCGGAATCTCAGAGTTTTGGCAAAGGCCCAGAATCAGCCCAAACAGAAGACAGTCCTCAATCGCAGCCCTGTTTATGGGAAGCAGATAGCGCTACTGACACCAAAATTTTTTACGATTATTATTTTTCATTAGTATTATTATTATTATTTCACCATACATCTTTGGTCGAGGATCCCGGAGCTGGTGCAGCTCGCTAATTCTATTTCTGAAAGTGGTTCCGACTTCGCTAGTGGTCGCGACCTTCGGCCTTAGCACAGATGCCAATCAAACTTCCCAAAGGCTTTGCCCGGCGTAAATCGTCTGGAAATGCCTTGGAAGAGGGAGAGAATCCTTCACAATCTTTCCGAGTGTTTGAACGCCCTTCTGTTGATAAAAAGTCCTATAGCGAGGGCAATCTCTTAGCCAAACGACTAAGTGACGGACAACGGTTCTATCCAACAGCAGAAGATTCGGACAACATATTTGCGGAGGTTGATAGCCCAGGCCAGAGAAGCCCGTATGCTCTCCAACCAATCCTACAAGTATTTCAAAAGAGATGGCTGACGAGAACCATGGTAGTGGAGGCTTGCATGAGCGTCCAAAGTCGGCAAGATTTAACTCGGCAACACATCGTTTAACGGATGGCCCTAATCCATCTGATACTCCAGCATCCCACTCCCGAAACTTGTACGATATACCGATCCCACCCCTCACTGGTGCATTGCGTGCAGCTGGTCGAACATTTTCTTTTGGTGGCAGGTTTTCCAAGGCTTCAGCACCGACCCCTCCTCAGCCCTCGACCCCAGGTCCCTCCAGAAGTCGGGCAATGACAGCCAGCACGACAAGCACAGCGACGCCTCCAAAACTGCTGGACACAGACTTGCAGCTTGGTCAAGGAGAAGATGAGTTCCACAACATGTTCGATGAAGTTGGGAAAAGGGAGGCTTTTCGAGAAAGGTCGGGAGATATGGTATGATGCGTAACGAAGACTATGGGGTATGTTGTTATTAACCGTCAATGGCAGATTCCCCCGTCTCCAGAACTAGTGGCTCGCAAGCAGGAAAAGTCATCGCGTCCCACTCCTATCAATACCGACCGATCGAAGGAAATTGAGCCCTCGCCATACTCCTGGGACAGCCGACACTCGGGGGAGGGGCTTTTGATGGCGAGCGATTCACCTCAGGACCACACTCCGGCATTGCAACAAACACTGAATTCTCATCCTGTGTCTCCAGAGGATCGTCGGATATCCTTGCCCTTGTCGAGTGTAGTGCCGAGGACTACTACTCATCGTTCACTGGAACAACCTCAGGTTATGCCCGATAAAAGCCTGAGAAGGAGTGTTCTTTACCCCAGCAAGCGAGCCTCGACGCCCATGCAAGATGAGGACGCCAAGTTAATCATGGAGTCTCTATATACTCATAAAAGAAGCTCACAGGTGTTGTTGAGTTCTGAACATGAGGATTCCGATGCGGAACATGACACCCCCCTTTTCAGCAACAGCCGTGCAATTACCGCGGATGGTTCAAACCGTTCGGATGCTAATCCAATGCTCACACACAAATCTCTCGGTGGAGCCGAGGACCACCCCGACCCTTGTATAGCAGCACATGCAAGACTGGCTGCGCAGTACGAGGAGAAGCAACCGGCACCAACAGCATCGTCAAACAAAGTCATGACGCCTTCGCAATTCGAACATTACAGACAACAACAGGAGCTAAGAAGATCCAACAGCGATGCGTCCAAGAGTGAAGACTCCGCAGAGAGCGAGTTTGACGAAGAGGACGAGGCAGAGAAGAACCGCGAAGTAGAGAGGCAGCGACGGAAGCAGGAGGCCCATCTCTCGGTATACCGACAGCAGATGATGAAGGTGACCGGGCAAGAGTCCCCAGCGCCAGCGCTTCGCTCAGAGGTTGGTCGGGCTAATAACAGTACGCCGAACCTAACAGTCACACCGTTGAATTCAGGTCATAGATCAGGCAGTGGAAAGAGCAGTGAGGGTGACGAAGATGAGGAAATCCCCCTAGGGATCCTGGCAGCACATGGGTTTCCCAACAGGAATCGGCCTCCTAGCCGCCTTGTTCCTTCGAACTCAATCCCCAATCTCCGAGCCTCATTTCACCAGCCTTACATATCATCCTCGAGCTCCATTGCCGATCAAGAACCTGGCAATCGTTCTAGTCTCCCCGTTTTTGCCAGAAATCTCCCACGAGACCCATATTTTGGGGCGAGTCTAGTCAACCCTTCTAATAGGGAATCTTTGGCCTTCGGGGGTGGTTCTTCAGTTTACGGAGGCCCAGCAGCTGCCGCAGGTCCCTCACCTGCATTGCCTCCGGGGGGTTTGGTAGGGGTGATCGCCACTGAAGAAAGAGCAAGAGCAATGAGGAGAGGCAGCCCCAATACACAAGCTATGTATGAATATCAAGGTGGGCCATCGACGGTACCTGCCCCTCCTAGTGGCATTCCCAGGCCCTATACGATGATGAGCATGAATCCCCCGGGCTCGGCGGGGCCCCCATCAGGGATATCTGCTACGGAACAGGCACAGATACAGTTGTCTCAGCAAATGTCAAGTATGATGCAAATGCAGATGCAGTGGATGCAGCAGATGATCCAAATGCAGGGTGGACAGGTTCCACCTCAGCAATTAGCGCCACCGGCAGGCTCCCCGCCTACAGCGGCCGCTAACGCAAATATGCGACCATCCTCAATGCCCTCATCTGGAGGAGCCAACCATACTCCTGCTGCTTACCGGAACGATCAAAGAACGCTGAGTATGCTTGATCCGAACATTTCTTCTCGTCTTAATAGCCCAGTCACGCCATACAATGTGGCAGGTGACCGACCAAGCACGCCAGCAGGGCAAGGCTATGCACCATCCATTGCTCCATCGGAGCGCAGCAATGTTGGACTGGCGCCTCGATATAGACCTGTGTCAGTGTTACAGCCAGAGTCCGGACCAGCCCCTTTCCCCTTCATGTCAAAATCATGGAATGATGAGAATCAGAAGTCGACTCTCTCTGTCCCTCCAACTAGATCACATCAAACCAGACCTACCATCGATCGAACCTCGAGTGGCGATAAATCAGCGATCACCGGTACAACGGGTCATGGCGCTGACCCAGATGATGATGATGATGAAGGCTGGGCCGAAATGATGAAGAAACGTGAGAAAAAGCGCAACAATTGGAAGATGAAGAAGGAGACGTCGAGTTTTGGAGACCTGTTGAATGCGGTACATTGACAGATCCAGTAGATAGATTCCTGCAGGTGATGTCGCGAGTATTTTTCGTCGAATACCCTTGCGCTTTACTAATTACCCCCCCCCCCCCCCCGTTTCTAATGTTTTTGCATGGAGGTGACATGCATCCGAAGAATTTTCTTTTTCCTTTCCTTTTGCTTTCTTTTTGTCGCCCCTTATGCTGGGAGAAATGCAGGGTGTTATAGCTGGTTAGCGTTTGACGGATCACTTATTTCTCATACTTTCTCAAGTCTGCTCTCCATCTTTCAGCGCCTGTACCTCCAAATTTTAGTAGGTACTCTATAAGACATCCTATACACATAACGTCTTAATGACACTACGATCGATCAATCCGAGCTTTTTCATGGATCCCCGCCCAGGGTCTGTCCTGAGTCTTCAGCTTCTTCATTTTACTCATCACTCATATTTCTTTCCGAATCATCGTATATCTCTTGTATATGATATCTCGTCTAACGATTGAACGGGCCAACCTGCCATAGCCGTTACTCTGTCATATATGGTGAGCCGAATAGTGTTACCACTACTGGATGCACGTAAGATCTTCCTTAAGGGGCAACGCGTGAGGTTTACTCTAGAGGAAGCTGAGGAGCAAATACAGACCCCAGAACGAGGCTACCATTCCTAGGTCATCGACGATCATGCCCGCTTGTGATTATGGGAATGTGACTCGGTGAGCATTCTTCTAAAGCATCACGTGCAAATGCTGAGGCTGCTCGAGTTAGACAGTGACTACCTGCATCCGAGCCCTGGACGAGTAGCGCTTTGACAACAGCAGTAGTTTCAGTCTCACTTACTATATCGGCCTAAACGCAGATCTTCACCTAGCTCGAGGTTGCAGCATGCACTTGTTTTATGTACTTACAGAACCAAGTCATTGGACTGTGACCTCGATTGTGGCGGAACATTAGTAGCCTGCTATTCGCGCCCCGGTTGAGGAAGGCCGTTGGACTACTTAAGATATAGACATCTATATATACAGACACTGGTTGAGGGTTTGTTTGATTTAGAGTTTATAAGTTTATGGACCATACTTAACAGTGCGACTTTATTATTATTGTTGTTGTTGTTGTTGTTGTTGTTGTTATTCTACCTGTATCTTTCTTACAGATATTTACTACTATTACACGGTCGAGATGAAGATTAAAAGCAGAAGCAGCACAGAGAATGGGGACCGCGCGGGCGGCAAATACAAACTACCCAACAAGGATAGTGTATAATCACGTGCTTATGATCACGGGATCCTCCATGTGAAAGGATTGAGAGGCAATTGTTGTATCACAGAGCAAACATAGGGCAGCAAGAGTATCATTATCATCTGCACTCCTCCATTTTTTTGTGCTGCCAAGCCCTATCCCTAATATAAAACCATAAGTTTTCTTCAGAGCACTCCAGTACCTTATCTCTATTTCCCTACGGAGACATAATCGGCTTTGCTCAGATTCTACTATTTGTTACTGATATCATATTTATTCGGCTGGGAAAAAGACGATCAGACGCCATCAAAGCAACGGTCGAAGCATAAGATACCGAGAAATAAACAAAAATCCCTCAGGACTCGTGAATATTCGACCCCGTACTAGTATCAACTCTACTGGACTAAACAACGTCTAATCTGGGCTGTCCAATCTTTATTTGGTTCAAGATGAATGCCCCTGACCGGTAAGGAAAGCAGTGTTTTGACTGGTCTTCTTCTTAGTTTTATCATTATTGTTACTATTGCTATCGTTTTTTTGTTGCTTGCGAATCCCATATAAAGTGTGATTTAGCGACTGTGCTTTTCATTTTCTACATGAACCTCTTTTTTTCCCCCAATATATTTAAGCAATGATGCCCTGCTTGCTTCAAAAGGAAGAGAGGGTTTGATTCATGAATTATTCTTGGTCGTTCCCTGAGACTTTGGATCAATCATGGTAGTAGATCTAGGGCACCTTCTTCATTAACGCATGTGTTTGATCTACTTGTGTTCATTGCTGTTCTTCTCACATTCACTCCTTCTCGGGGGTTTCCTGCCTGCTACCCTCTTACAACCCCCCCTGTTCTCCCCGAGACCATGAGTTCCAGCAAAGAATATATTCTCTCCAAGGAGATGGCCTACGCACGTTGGATAAATGCGAACGGCAGTTCTCCACGTAACGGCTGCCAGACTACTGTCAAAGTTTCACATGACCAGCAACCTAGGTCTGCTATATATGACTTTATTATACCGCTATTCCCGGATTACATATGATGTTGCGTCTATTTTGGAATCCCTGCTGGGAACATTGGCTAACCGTGGCTTGAATTTAGTTATGAATCATTCGTCCTTGCGAATGGCGAGAACAAGGTTGAGATGGAGATTGATACACGTACGCCTCCCCATTACAGGTCTAATGTGCTAGCAGACACTCAAGTTTGGTTTTAGGTATTCCGTCCTCTGCCATCTTCACTTTCAATAAGGAAGATCATACTCTCGGAAACCTAATTCGCTCCCGCCTTCTCCAGAGTTCCCATGTGCTTTTTGCTGCATACAAGGTAGAACTTCCATAACCTGCTAGCTGCATTGACCTCGGTTCCCCCGTGTCTTTGTGTCTTAGAAGGTTGATATATGTGTCTGACATGCAAAATTTCAGGTTCCTCATCCGCTTGTTCCAAAGTTCGAACTCCGTGTACAGACCGATGGTGAGATCACCCCCAAAGAAGCCGTCATTGCTGCGTGCCACGAACTAGTTCGAGACCTGGGCATCTTATCACGTGAATTCACCAAGGAATATGAACTCCGAAAGATGGTGGGAGCCACTCAGCAGCAACAGGATGGTGTACAGGAAGGAGCCTAGGTGATTGACGAATCAATTAAAATGAGCTGGTTTCGAAACCTTTGCTTCGATTATACGCAGCTGGTTATGCGTGCGCTCGGTTATGTCTATTCTCTATTTCTGTCTTCTTTTCCTCCTTCTTTCAATTCCTCTATGTTTGCTCTCTTGGCACCTGTAATCCACGAAGCTAGCTCTTGGCATGTTCCTGGGGATTGATATGTTTTATACAATCGTGATATGGTATGCGAGGTTGTGGTTTCGTCAGCGGCAATTGATCCAGCATACCATCAGGATTGTTGTATTCGCTCGATATTTTATCGCATGATCGACAGAGTAAAATAACTGGTTATCTTTATAATAAGTAGACACTTGTACCTGTTTTGTTCCTGATATATACATGTTAGTGCTTAGGTAACTGTGGAGTAGGAACTCGCGGCCCACTATCCAAATGGGATTAGCGCAGGCGCTCCGCGTCCCTGACTGCGGCCATCATCATCAGCAGCTCCTGACCATCCATCGCTGCCTGTCCGTCGGTTTCTATCGTTCGTGAAGTTCCTCTTTCTCTTTATTATCAATCTATCGCTTATCACTTTTCCTTCCTTATATGGTTATTAGATTGCCTATCTAATGCAAGAGCTGTGTTGGTAATGTACTCTTCGTCGAATTCCTTTATGGGCGGCGCCAACAGCGCTCGCCCGGGACAACCACCTTTCATGCAGCAGCCTTCATATTCTCAATTCCCCCACGGACAGCAAACGCCCCAGCAGCAGCAACAGCATCAGACGGGTCTTGCCCCTCAACCTAACGGATATGGTTCCCAATTGTCTGGATTCGGAGGCTCTCATCTGCAGCCTCAACCTACAGGGTTCTCTCCTGGGCAGTTACAACCACAATTCACAGGGTTTCCACAACCGCAACAGCAACCTGGCTTCCAGACCTCCACTCAGCCGCCCCAGCTCACGGGATACTCTATTCAGAGCCAAGCCCCGCAGCTCCAAGTCCCTTCGAGCACCGGCCTACCGGTCCGGCTGGCCCCTCAGACATCATCTGAGATAGCAGACTCCTTCAGGGATAGCGCTGGTGCCGCTCCACCCCCGCCCCCCAAAACCGCCGGTAGCAAAATTCCCAGCATTCGGCTCTCATTCATAACAGCACAAGACCAGGCGAAATTCGAACAGCTGTTTAAATCAGCGGTCGGAGATAGTCAGACGATGAGTGGCGAAAAGGCTAAAGACCTGCTTCTGCGGTCAAGGCTTACAGGAAGTGATCTGTCGAAAATATGGGTCCTGTCAGACACCACAAAGTCGGGCCAACTGTTATTTCCAGAGTTTGCTTTGGCCATGTATCTGTGCAACATACGGATTACAGGCAGAAATTTGCCAGATGCCCTCCCCGAGAAGATAAAGAATGAAGTTTCTAGTATGGTAGATATCATTTCCTTCCAGGTCCCTGACACGCAACCAGAGGTGGCCATCCCCACAAATACTCCGAACTTCGATGCGCCGTTACTGGAGAACAAATCTGCTCCTCCAGCTCCTCAGCAACCGCAACCTCAACAGCCGACCAATTCTCAGCTTCTCACGCAGCTCACAGCGCAGCCAACAGGATTTCATACTCAGCCGACTGGCATTCAGTCTACTCAAGCTTCTTTTCCAGGCCAAAGCTCAAGTCTAATCCCGCAAGCTACGGCCTTCCCCGGGCAGTCCCAGCAACAGTTTCTACAAGCTCAACCAACAGGACTGATGTCCAATCCCCAGCCTACAGGCTATAGTGGACCCCATCCCCCAGTGCCGCCGATGCCCACGAGCCTCGGGCCCAACCTCAGTCCCGCACAGGCCGGTGGGGTTTCTGGTTTAATCGCCCAGCCTACTGGAGTCCCCGGCCAGTGGGGCTTTGTCAATGCTCCGTCTTCTGGATTGCCCAATATAGAAGCCCTCAAGCAGCAACTAATGCCTCAACCAGGCCGTGAGGGCGGGTTTTCAGCCGCTGGTCTTTCTGGAAATGCTCACATTCCGTGGGCAATCACCAAAGAAGAGAAAAAAATCTATGACGATCTTTTTCGGGCATGGGATGGATTTCATAAGGGCTTCATTGGCGGTGATACTGCTATCGAAATTATGGGGCAAAGTGGGCTGGATCGGAAAGATCTCGAGCGTATTTGGACATTGGCGGATCCCCACAACAGAGGCCGGCTCAACATGGATGAATTCGCTGTGGCGATGCATCTAATATACAGGAAGCTGAATGGATATCCGGTTCCGAATCGCCTCCCTCCGGAGCTAGTTCCCCCATCAACAAGGAATCTCAATGATTCGATAGGCACAATCAAATCGATGCTCTCCCAAGATGCGGAAAGTCGAAAAGCGTCCGGTGCTTTTCTACAACCACAGAAAACCGGTGTAAGTTATCTCAAAGATCACTCATTTCGTGGTGGTAGTGGAGTGTCTCCCGGGTTTGGCCGCAAAGATGCCACTTTGTTCAAGAACAATGACGAAGCTACCGCTGGGTATCGTTCTAGCGCCCGTCGCCGTGTTGGAAACAATGGTAGGACGCCCTCGCCTGCTGCTTCGCAAGCATCAGAAGAAGAGTTGTCCGTTGGGCAACTGAGGAAGAAGATACGCGAGACACAAATCATGTTGGATGCAGTCGACTTCCAGGACGAGAATCGCGCCGAGGAAGAAGACGCTCTAAACCGTAGAGATCGTCGGGAAGTAGAGAGCCTGATGGATCGAATCCGACGTGTTCAGGATGACATTGACACACACCCGGATGCGGCCTTCCGCACTCTTGACAACGGTGCCGAGCGAAGGTCCCTACGCCGTCAGCTGCAATCTTATGAGGACCAAGTTCCTCAAGTAGCTTCAGATGTTCGACGGGTTGAACGAGAGATTGCCGAGGCTAAACTCGAGCTCTTCCGCCTAAAGGACGCAAAGGCTCACCCAAATAGTGCGTCGGATATCGTGGGAACAGGTCCAGGGGGTGCAGTGACAGAGGCGGATCGCATCAAGGCTCGTGCTCGAGCTAGAATGCAAGCTCGTGCAGCCGAGCTCGCCGGTAGACCCACACCGTCCTCGCAAGATGATGATGGAGCCGCAGCTCGACGAGTTGAAGCTGAAAGCGCCAAAGTTAAGGCAGATAGAGAAAAGAACGATGCCATGACTCGTGATGTGGAGGACAGTGTAAAAGACTTTGCTCGAAGTCTCGAGGATACCCTGAAAGATGCGAGTGAGAATTCAACGCGCGAGCACGAAAGACGACGGTGGGAAGATGCTCTGGGAGTTGAGGATGTGATTCGAGACTTTATTTACGACCTAAAACGTAACAGTCGAACCGCATATGTTCGGAAGGAAGAGTAAGTTGCTTCAAAAATACTCTAGTTTCGTTGTTCAGCAAGACATCGAATACCCTCCGCTAGTACTAACCATGTTCTAGGGCATCGCGATCCATGCACGAGGAGCGTGAGCGTCCCCGATACGATGAAGCGCCCCCTACCCGGCCTTCTCCTCCCCCATCCACTGGTTCCACGGGCTCATTGCCTGGCTCTACCCACGAGGATCGTGTTGCCGCTGCAAGGGAACGTGCGCAGAAGCGCATTGCTGAACGAATGGCAGCTGCTGGCCTCAAGCCTCATAATAGCACTGCGGAAACCCTCCTTCAGCGTCAGGAACGCGAGAAAAAGGAACGCGAGGATCGGTTGAAGCAAGCGGAAGAAGAAGATACCAGGCGCGAGCAAGAAAGGCAGCGTCGACTGGCTGAAGAACAGGGTGGATCAATGGCGCAACCTGTTAAACCGACGTCCAAGAAACCCCCGCCGGCGCCGCCTTCGAGACGGGGCCGTACTGACAGCGCGGGTCAGGCGGAAGCTAAAAGGGCGGCAGAAGAATTGGCGAAAGTAGAGCAGGCTGCCCGAGGGCGAACGATCCGCGAAGAAGAAGAAGAAGCGCAGGAGGAAAGGAAACGTCTTGAGTATGTGAATATAGTTGAATTTTTGTCTTGAATTCTTTCAATCGCTGACAAGGGCTTCTAGGGACGATGCTAGGAAACGTGAGGAGGAGTTCCAAAGAGAGAAGGAGGCACAAGAAGCCCGCCTCCGAACACTCCAAGAACAGGTGCAGCAGGGCAAGATCAAAAAACAGGAAGCGAAGCGGCGGAAAGAAGAAGCAGACCGATTAGCAAAAGAGCAGGAAGCTAAGCTTACTGCTCATCGTGCTGAACTCGAAATGGCTAAAGAACGGGAACGACAGCTCCAATTGGAATTGGAAGCCCTAGATGAGGAAAGCTCCTCGGACGAAGAAGGCCCGGAGAATATCACTCCTCAGCATAGCACCCCTGCTCAGAGTCAAATTCTTCCTGGAGTCGACATTGCAGCGCCTGTTGCTCCCTCAGCTCCAGTCCCTCCTGTTCCTGGACCAGAGCCAGACGGGTCGACTAGTGCTACGAGCTCGCCAACCAGCGATCGCACCGGATTAGCCCACCTCCCTCTAGAGACTGAATCGAAGAACCCTTATTTCAAGAAGATCAGTCAGCCTGCCGAGAGCCAACTTGCCACACCACAACCCGTCTCTAATGCCCCTGTAACCTCCCCCAAGGCTGACGTTCAGTCAACTAATCCTTTCCATCGGCTTGCACAACAGCAAGATAACGCGAAACCTGCATTCACAGCAGCAGGACCAATAGAACGTGTGTCCCGTGCACGTCCTGAGACGGATGACGACTGGTCTGCAGCAGGATCAGACTTCGACTCGTCTGATGATGATGATGATGATGATGATGAGCGGCCTGGCGGTGGAAGTGCGAAGCAGCTCGCAAGCATACTATTCGGTACTATGGCTCCACCGCGACCTTTGAGTGCGGTGGATGACAAATCTCCTTCGAAACCATCTACCCCTGCGCCAGATACTCCTGTAGCCGCTCCAACGGCACCCGAGGCAGATGGAACCTTGTCTGTACCCTCTGCTGCTTCCCCACCTCCACCTCCACCCCCACCCCCACCAGTGGTAGCACCGGTTCCCTCAATAGCGCTCAGCTCTGGTCCTCCAGATGCTCCCCCACCGCCGCCGCCCCCGCCTGTATTTCATATGGCCGCCTCGGCCCCCCCGGGGATTCCTCCACCACCAGCACCTTCGGCTGCACCGGCAGGAGCACCTGGTCGAAGCGCCCTACTAGCCTCTATTCAAGCCGGTAAAGGACTGAGGAAAGTTCAGACAAATGACCGGAGTCTTAGCTCTGTTGCAGGGAGAGTGCTCGATTAGCAAGAGGTGGTCAGAGAGTTCAGTTTGCCAGAATTCAATTGGGTAGAAACCTATAGTCACTATTCCTAGCCACTTCGCTTTAATCCATTACTGCTAAATCAATATACTGTATTCTACCCATCGTAAAATTATAGATAAGGGGTATTAGATAGCCTTAGGTTCGATTTTTCTTTTTTTTTTTTTTTTCTTTTTCGAATTGATAGATGGCGTATCAGTACATCTGACAATGTGTTCACAGCCAGTCACTATTTATAATGGAAACAGTTAAAGAACTAACGGTACAGAAATGCCTTAATGATGGTGACGCACTGACAGATACCTCCATAAACACGAAGACTTAGGTTAAGATTTCTGCAATGACATTTGTCAAAGTGCTGATGCACCATAGAATCACTAGACCCCAACCAATTTTTCGGTCCATTCTCCATTTGTTCAACGGGACTACTATCAGTAGCCCTACTAGTGTGAATAGCAATGTGGCGCCGCTGATGATGAGCACCTTGGATATGGTGATCTCATACGGAACTCCGTCCGTGGCTACCGTTTCTGCTTTTGCATGGAGAGTCATGTACAGGCCACCTAGGCCAATCCCTAGAAGAATATTCAACATAGGTCCGCCAAAGCAAGCACTCAAAGCCATAACTGGGTAGCCTAGGCGGGCAACGGTGATATCAGCAACAAGATCACCTAACGAGTTTCCAACGGCAAACACGGTCAGTCCCAGGAGTGAATCACTGATGTTCAAGATCACTCCTAGGGTTTTGAGGAGACTGACGACCTCGGTAGCTATGGTCGCAATCCAGCATATAGCAACAATGAAGCCCAAGAAAGCCAGCAAAGGGCGCCATGCAGTTGGGAATTGCCAAGAATTACTATGTCGTGAACTTATGATAAGACCAGTGATGCATACCAGCGACAAGAGTAGAGATAACAAAGATGGGAGTAAGAGATTGCGGATGTCTAGGTCAGAATCAATGGCTGTCCAGGCAATCAAAGCAACAAAAAAGGGGCCGGTGAATATTTGTATCCAAACTAGCCACTGACAACATTCCTTCGGAGGCAGCGCCGAAGGATCTGGCCGTGATTGAACGGCTGGCAACTCTGAGTCCCAACGTTGTCGCCTCTGCATTGATTGGCTCTTGCTAGTATGACCTGTAGCTTGCTCGGCAGTGGATCCGTGGTCAACAGCTCGAACAAGCGGGCTATCCTCCGGCAGCCTCACTGCAGGTATTCCTGAGTCTCCTCCATCTGCTGAAGTCACTACGACTGTTACAGAATCTGCACTGGTTTCGGGTTGTGCGGGCTCAACAACAGGGACAGTAATTGTCAGTAAAAGCACACTAGGAGCTGCAATAACTCCTAGCATCCTTTCCCAGAAGTTCTTCGTCTTCCACCCAACCAGAGTAGGGAAGAGTGTTCGAACGATAGACGGTAAAAGAACGGATGTGAAAGAAAACCACCCCTGCATCTGGGCCGAAACTCGAGGGCACCCATTACCATAGATGCTGTCATGCACCTGCAGCTCCTCCGTGGGGCTAGAAATAGGTGGTAGGCGTATACTAGGTGCCCTGGAGTGCACGGGATTAGATGTATCAAGGAACGGGGGGAATGGACTACAAGGGCTCCCCACTGGAGCATCAACGGACCCAGAGGCGAATGGAGACCCTCGTGGGGAAACCTCCAGAGGAGATCTTGGTTCGGGCGTTTCAGCCTGGTAGTTTGGAGAGTGGAAAGTACCAGGGGGTGCAAGTAATTGTGGGGTCCGCGGAGGCGTACTCCCTTCTGGACTGGGACTTCGCCATGCTTGTCCAGACGACGACGGCGATAGTTCTGACTCGCCACTCTTATACGTTTGATGCGTCTGTGTCTGAACAAATGTAGTTGGATCATCGACCGAGGGCCGAGTGATAGCAACGTGCGGTCGCTTTGCACCAGAATCGAACACGCTAGTGTCTAACTTCAAACCCGTGGCATCGTCGGCGGACACAGCTCGAGTTCGAGTTTGAGTTGAACTCATTCCACTGTTGGGCGACAGATGGCTTGTTGCAGAAGAATTACTGATCCTTGGGTGGGAAGCAACAGAGATATCGTCACGTTCCGGGAATCCCGCATGAGTCCCATCGTAATCATCTGTGTACCGCTGGAGGGTAATCGGCAGGTTCTGATGAGTACACCGCGACCGCTGAAGAGAAGAAACAACGGACTGAAACTCTAGCGCGCCAACCAGACTGGGCCTGATAGGGTTCAAAGTATTACGTCTGTGTACAGAGGGACGATACACGTGCATATTATCCCGTATTTCTGCTAAATACCGGTTGCGGGTTTCGTCGTCATCCCCATCTTTCCAAGAGACCGCTCCACCTCTCTCTAAGGCGTCGAAATCTTGTACTGAAACACCGTGGATAAGACTTGTGGACTCAGAGACAATTCCAGGATCATCATCTTCGGCTTCTTCGATCTCCAATTCTTGGTTTTCAGGGATATGGAAGTGTGACCGTGCGGCTATATCCCTCTCATAGACACGGCGGCGGCGCACGAAGTACCAGTGCCAGGTTACGACCAAGACGACATAAAAGCAATATAAAGCGACCATCGCGGCGGATTCCCATGTATGGAGGTGGCCATCTGCTAACATGAACATACTGAAACTCACAGCCGCGATGAAATACCCGACATCACGAACAAAGCTTCTTCGCGCAACTTTGAACGGGCGGACCAACGCCATCGACCCTGCAACGACCGACGTGATAAAGCTTGCGGCTCCAAGCAGCTCCCCAATGGCCAAGCTACCGCTGTTAGATTTCATGGCGGCGAAGGTAGAAAAGACATCCGGACTTCCGTTTCCAAACGCAAGAAATGTGACGCCAGCCAAGCTTTCGCTCAAACCAAGTGCACCAGCTAGAGTGCTCAAGTCAATACATAGGAAATCACTGGCGGCAATCCCGATCGTGCTGAACAGTAGTGAGAGCCATAGGGTAAGGATGGTGAATGCGAATGGCTTGGCACCTGCGAGAGCGCAGTAATAGAATTGGAGATACGAGAACAGGCCATCTTCATGGTCAGGGCAATTCATGCGGACGTAAGAGCACTTGTCGTGTGCTTTACGAACCATGCGGCACTAAAGTGGAAGATGAAACGCCTTAGCAACCCATTCTAATGAATTGTTATGGATAACGAAAGCAACTCGTTGCGATACCTCTAGATCAGTGCCTCGCTTGAAGATACCCTGCCTGTCAGAACCCCCTCCTCGCAGAAATTGTTTGGCGGGAAACGCAATCCCTTCATCTTCATATAATCCAAAAACCCAGCTGAGAACTGCCAAGGTCGCGATCACCATGAGAGTCCAGTAGAAAGGTCGAACGGAATAACGCCGCCCTGGTGGGCGGCTCAAGATTGGAGAGAGTATTTCAGACATAGTGCAAGACGCGACAGCATCATGGGCAGTGGAGTGAAAAGTTACAGCCTGTCCGTAAGGACAAGGTAGTGGTTTAAAATGTCAAAATGTCGGCGGTGGTTAACATGGCTGTAAGGGAGATGTGCATATGGTTATCTAGCTATCAGCGTAGATTGAAGAGGTGACTCCACGCGGCAAGGCACTAGCCACTCATTTGATGTCAACCTCGGTGGAGAAAGTGGCTCGCAGGTCGCCACTTCTTGAATGTTGGTTGAGGCTAGGCGCCTGATCAAGCCTAATAGCAGCACAATGAGTTGGATGTAATGTTAGTAGTGAGGTGTAAATAAAGGACGATAAAGTTACTACAAAAAACAGGGGTATGAATATGGTAAATCAAAAATAAAAAGACCAGAAAAGAAAACCTCCGCTTGAAAAACTGTTGCCTTGTCACGTGCATTTCAATACACCTATCACATATCATGTGACCCGGCCATCTAAAGAAGCTAGCCAAGGATCTGCACTCCAGGTTGCTCTGGTATGGCGTATGTTTTTGTTGACTCCCATTTGTTTGTTCTTGTCGGCCAAAGAGGGAAACTTTGTTGTATTTCCAGAGCACATCGCGGTACGCAGCAGTACAGAGAATGAGTATCTTAAACTGTGGCTGCTTTGTTGTCACTTAAATATCTTTTTTACTTTCACTCTCCTTACCGCTATCTTTCTGTGATCCACTGGATATTATCCTGTACTCCTGGGAGGTCTCACAATGCCCCGCGTAGCGAATCCTAAGCACCGCCGCTCCGGTGGTGCTTCTACCCCCCATAAGAATTCACCTATTAAGTGCGTATTAAAAGATCTAAATGGCCTCTTTTATTCTAGTGACATGGAAGCTGATAAACTAAGAATCCCGCTCAATGATGACATGGGCGAAAAGGCGGCTCGTATGGAAGCCCGACAGGCTCGCCATGACCGCCAGATGGACCAGATCAAAGCAGCTGTCAAGACACCTATGCCTCCTCGAAGATACACTGGCCATGAGCGTGGATCCAGCATGAGCCCGGTCACACCGCGCGGATCAGGACACAGAGGCCGCGAAAGCGATGTTGACGGCCGGAGAGCGGTAACCCCGATGAAGCGTGTGCCTATCTTAGCCAACTTTGAGGAATGGATGAAGATGGCGACCGACAACAAGATCAACGCAAATAATTCATGGAATTTCGCACTCATTGATTACTTCCATGATATGTCCTTGCTGAAGGAGGGCGATGGTGTCAATTTTCAAAAAGCTAGTTGTACGCTCGATGGGTGCGTCAAAATTTACACGAGCAGGGTCGACAGTGTTGCGACGGAGACCGGCAAACTTCTGAGTGGCTTGGCCGATAGTCGTGATAGAAAGCCCCAGGAGACAGGCGTAGACGACGATGGTGTCGAGGATGAGGACGAAGGAGAGGAAGGGATGGGAAGGAAGTCTCGACGGAAGGTACAGCAACCAATGCGATCCAGCCAAGTTTTAAAATAGCTAACCAATACCCTCAAGGCGCAACGATCTCATGAGGCTACACTTGCACCCTCATTTGCCTCACTCCAACTAAAAAAGTTCGAACTTGAATTTTCTGTCGACCCATTATTCAAAAAGGCCTCGGCAGATTTTGACGAAGGTGGCGCGAAAGGCTTGCTATTGAACCATTTGGCAATTGATGGACAAGGGCGAATAGTGTTCGACAGTAGTGATGATGCCACAGAAGAGAGCTCGAAAGATATGGATGATGTGCGACAAGGGTCAGAGGATCCTCAACGCCCAGGATCCCCGTCGCCACCTCCAAGGCAATCGTCTGACGATATATTCGAAGAAAACGTGGAGATTGACATATCGTCCTTGGCAAACCAGTTTTTCCCAGATTTGGAACGTCTTGAAATGCAGGATATCTGTCCCTCGTTGAAAAACTTTGATCTTGGCGACCCGAGCGCGCCGTTGGATATACCATTTCTCAAGGCCCCCGAAGACTGGCGTAATGATAAGGGCCACGATGAAGGGCACAATCCGAATGATGCATCTGGAATCATGCTCGATGATGACAATGCTGTTGGATTTGATGATGACGACGCAACATTGGCGGGCTTTGATCTTGGTGGAGACACCGGATTCGGTGATGGTGGTGAAGCATGGGCTCGTGAAGCTGCTCTGGAGCCGATGCTTAAAGTTCACCGGGTCGATCGGGACAATGACGAGATTCAGGATGGTGAAGAGCTAGATAATGACGATGCATATGCCATTTCTCTTACCCATCAGCCTAACAAGCAGGACCATGAAAATATCCTCAGCTACTTCGATAATGCCCTACAAAAAAACTGGGCAGGCCCCGAACACTGGAAAATCCGCAGGATTAAAGAGCATGCTGCGGCAAATACTGCTTCCGCTGCCCCAAAGCAGCGGAAGGAAAAAGAGCCCTTCGAAATTGATTTTTCTGCACCGTTGGAATCGTCTGTTGCTGAGTTGATGTATACCCCAGCAAGCTCCAACTCTACCATATCGTTGCCTAAAACACAATGGAAGACAAAGGGCCGTAACCTTCTTCCAGATGATAAACACTTCAATTCGCGACAATTGCTTCGCCTCTTTCTCAAGCCCAAGGCCAGGATGGGCTCCAGAAGACTGGTGGGGACTCGGCAATTTAACCAACGCAGGGAAGACCGGACAGCGGGGAATGGAGAAATGGATGAAGCATTCTGGGCAAATCATAAGCCGGAGAATAACGCAGCACCCGATGAAGAAGGCGCCCCCGGCGCATATGATGCAAATTTCTTCGCAGATGATGATGGTCTTGCATTCCCTAACGGCCTTGGTTTGGGTGATGATGACGATGATAACCTACCCTTTGCGGACGCTAGGGAGATGCTCTCTCCGCCATCCGATGGACAGCCAGGAAACCCAGCAGGGGACGCTGGAGGTGCTTCGGGACTTACAGCTCTCTTGGGCATGGTGGGCGCCACACCTGGCTCAGCGTTACAAAGCGGAGCTGGAGGATTCGGGTCACAACTAGTAACACAAGGTGGTCGGAGAGCACGCCCTGACTACGTTGCGTATGCAAGAGTGGCCAAGAAAGTTGATGTTCGACGACTTAAAGTGGAGATGTGGAAGGGTATGGGTGAACGCTTAATCGCATCAACAAGTTTTGATCCCTCCCAGGAAAGCCCACATCGAGAACAACCCACTGAAAATGAGGCCAATGAACCTCCAGCACCCACATCCGTGAACGTCATGCAGCAGGAAAATGGTCAACTCCGGTTTACGCAGATCATGAATTCACTCAAATCTGTCTACCCTCCGGAAACGCTACGTGATATCAGTACCTCGTTCGGGTTTATTTGTCTGCTTCACTTGGCCAATGAACAGGGTCTCATGCTGCAGAATGATGATGATTCTAGTGGTCTTGGTGAAGGCAGGCTAGAAGACATCTTTGTCATAAAGGATGCCAATGCAGTCCTTGAAGAGGGCGCTATATAATGAGACTGACATATGTTGTTTAAATTAAATGCACAGACAATTTCTTGTTCCAGGGTTACAGGATGCTCATGAGGAACGAGGTATAGTTCAGGATCAATGCTCGACGTTATGTCGCAAAGGAGTTGGGGCTCGTATTTCATACTGGGTGGTATTTGTGTTTTTGCTTTATTTGAATAGTCTGATGTTCAGTTTTATCACATTGGTTAATCGCAATTCTGGCAGGAGCATATTCGCCGCTTGGTTTTTTTCTTTCCATATCCTTTTTTCGGCATTCTTGTATCTACTTTAGTTGGTGAATAAGTTATATTATTTCTGTTGCGCCTAAACTTATGTACAATACCATCGGGGATATACGGACAAAACAGCAGTCCCATAATGTCCAAGACACCCATTTAAGTATCACAAATCACAATATTGTTCCTTCGATTCATATCGATGTGGCAGAAAGATGCAGACAGTGCGTTATATAAAGGTAGGTAAAACCCCCACCCCCCAAAACAATCTCATTGAATGAGAGAATATATTAAAGCGGTTGAAACCTTTCGAGAAAACACAATACCATGCTACCATTTGAAATAAGGGAACGGGGAATAATATAATCATCAAGAATAAATACAATGCGTCAGTCTGTATTCCAAGGCTTCGCGTGCAGGTGCATATGCACATTTCAACCATTGATTAGGCTATTTAAACGTGGAAATCATTAACGCGAGGCATGAGGGAACGTGGGCGACATTGGACTCGAATACGCCCTCGGAATCGGCACAGCATCGTAGGCCCGTTCGCCAGGCGCAGCAGCCATGTGCTGGTTAACATTTGGTGCCGGCTCAGGAGCCGTAGGAACGTAACTAGGGCCAAGGAACTCTCTCTGCTCTGTCTTAGGAGTCGCTTGTTGTACACGGATGGGAGGTGCTTGCAATTGGAAGGTCGGCTGGGGCTTTGTCGGAGAACGGGGCGTGGCAAACTGGGTGGAGCATGATTCACCGTTTTCAGCCATTGAATAGGGATCTTGCGAAACAGTTGTAGATATTATAGGCGTCTTTTGAGCGAGAGAAAATCCAGGTGTATTGGGTGCTGACTGAAGACGGAGCTGGGCAAGGTACAGATCGGATCTAGCCTTGTCACGGCGGTCCATTGACTTCATAAGGCGCCTCTTAGTCCAGAACCGATAAAACACAACCGCATAGATAAGGATGACCAGAACTTCGAGGACGACTTCAATAATAGCGCACACCAAGCCCCAGTCCTATAACATTAGTAATGACTCTAGAAAAATACTAAAAATGGCAACCAGGAAGGCTCACCTGCAACCGACAAAGGAGGGCATAGTCAATATCGTTCTGGAACAACGTTTCCCTTGTGTTCTTCTTGCAGGACCAACCCCAAAGGTCCTGGCTGTTTCCGTTGGCTTTTTCATTCTGGTAAAGCGCCGCTGCGACAATCCACATTACAAGGCTGAACATGAAGAAGCACACTGCAATTGTTTGATAGTAAACAGTGAGTTTTTCGGCACGCTTGTGGCCGCCTTTCCAATAGCCCCAAAATACGATCAGGCAAGCAAACAACGAGACGCATGCCACTGAAAGGAGCAGATATTGAGTCCACGGATTGGTGCCATTGGCCCAAGCAGGGAAACCTCCCCTGGAAGGCAGTGATTTAGTAGAATGGAAGACGAACAGAGTCAATGCTAAGATTGTGACGACTATCAGACTGCAGCCAAAATTCACGAAACGCAGGAATATCTTGGCCACCCGGACGCGGAGTTTAATTCGCTGGGGTTGAATTAGTATGAGCACCCAGTTAGAAGACTGTATCATCTCCACTCGACTCACCAGATCTCTAGCATTCTCCTTCTCTGCAGACTTCTCTTCCTTCTCCACATAAAACTCTTCACGAAACGTTGGGCTGAGTGGATTTAGTGTGCGCCCTGGCGTTCCGGGGACTTTCAGTGCACTTTTGAGCGGTGAAACTGGCAGTTGGTGATGGGATGCGTGTTGTACCGAATCATTTGCGGCAACATATCCAAAGCCTACGTCGGACACATCAGGGAGCGCCTGTGACTGACGGGGAGGGTCTGCGAACGGTGACCTCCTGGCGTCAGCAGGCCCAGTTGGGGATTGCACCGTCGTTGCTTCCACAAAGCGAGCCATCCGAGGGCTTTTTATTGACGAGGCCGTAGTGTCTGAAGAGCTTCGCTCCTCTACAGTCGGTTGTTGTGCAGGTGCCATTGAATAAAGGCCGCGTCCACTAATGATATTTGCCTGAGTTACTCCGTAATTCAAAGGATAATTTGTCTGGATGTCATTCGACACGGGCGTCGACAAATGGTATATAGAACGATTCTTGCTACTAAGCTAGCTGATAAGCTCAGGTGCGTAGAGAGCCAGCTCTCGCAGCCTCTTCTCTTCCGGTCTTTTACAGTGATAAGCAACGAAAGAAGGACGCTTAGTAGGACAATTCCAAGCACTCTAAGGGAGACAAGAGAGTTAGCTTTGAATACTCAGATGTATTTAAGGATGAAAGAACATCATCGCTTGTGTTCATAATGCAGGGGAGGGAGACAAAATTAGGAGGAATTGTACCCTAATGAAGAAAGTAACTAGATGATTCGACTGTTTGTGGTCTCACAGTATCGATCTTGAAGGACTTGGTCAGCTGTATATTGTGTGATCTGAATGGCATGACAATAACTTACTGATTTAGTATCCTGGGGAGCTTTACCAATCGACTTTCTTGCTGATGGTCTGCTTGGGCGACGATTGCGAAGCCAGCGCTTCTTGAGCCAAACAAGATCCAGAAAAACAAGACGTTGAAGGGAGAAAAAGAAACTGATCAAGTCAGTTGCGCGAGGCGTTACCCATTTGAATACTACCGATGGGCTTTGGGCTGGCTCCCGGGTCTAGCAGCCCCCCGGGGGGGGAGGGGAAGGGACCAAGTTGAATGGATTCACATCGGCCGTGTACTAAGCGCCGGGAGACTGTAGAGCAAGCCATGCTGGAAAGGTGATTGGGGGAGATTCAAAGTAACACAGGGAGCAAGGAGGAGGGAGACAAAGCCGAGCAATACAATGAGTGGACGGCGATCTCATCATTCAAGCATAACCGCCCAGTTCATCACTCCAGTCAACTCACAGAGAGTGGATTCATGCAGGTGTGGTCACCCGTGAAGCGAATGAGCATTTCCTGTTAGCTTCTTGTCCCGGCGCCAACGCTGATCGTCTCTCCAGCTCAGCCAACCAGGAGTCCTGCAGAACCGCTGTGATCGATTGTGCATGAGTTGGTTTCTCCTGTCTTCTTGCTCTTTTATTTTTATTTTTATCTTTCTATTTTAGTAGTAGTAGTAGTATCATTATTACTAGTTTTATTATAATTTTTTGACTACCGGCGGGGGGAGGAGGAGGATCTGATTCACGTAAACGTTCCACTAAATTAAGCGCCTACAACCTTCTTACAATCACCACCAGTATCAGTCATGATAGGTCTTTTTAGCCTCCTATGTGGCAATAGCGGCTATAGGGACTATTCCCACAGCAGGGAAATCTTAGATTCATTTGATTTTTCCGGAAATCACTACTCTGGGATCAGTCTCCCCGTTGGTCAGCCTATATATCATTGTCCCTGTGCGTCAACTGAGAGTATGGATGTTTGGATGGACTCGCTAAGATTCAATACTGAGAGTAATAAAATCAAAGGGCTATCTTGGGCTGCTTCATCACAATCGTATTCTACCCAATTGGTACAGCCATAAAATTCCCCTCGTTGTAGGTATTATATATGCTTACTGTGGCCCATTACGTGCCTTGTAAGCGAGCGACATAGGATCATCGGTTATATATCCGCTACTGCAAACACTAGCAATATTACTGAAAATTCTGTCCTTTCCCTTTGAATGCGGAGTTCCCTATTTACAATGGCCCAGTCCAGGGAAACTTCAGGAATATAATCATCGCTTAGACGTTTCCGTTGCTGGGATATACACTTGGCCTGGATCACGTACCATTTTCAAAGATCACAGTTCACAGTCCATAGCTCGGTTATACTCCATTCAACACCTTAGTCCCTTTAAAGGACACCGTCTCCTCTCCTACTTGATTACTCCTTTCGTCACAGTACTGCTCGAGGACTTCGAACATCGGCGATGCAACAGACATGGAGCCAATGTTTACCTTCTCTCTGATCTGTTGAGGAGCTTCTGTCAATTCACTAGCTAGCTCAACGCCAATAGTCTCCATGCCTCCAATGATACTGGAGGACATGCCACCAGTATCTGACTGTTCGAAAGATAGTATGCTATTTATCTTATTTGTTGGGGCAGTTGTGTTCTCGGTCGTAATTACAGCTTAAACAGAGGTAGACTTCAACTGGAGATCAACACCATCTTAGATTACGCTTCCACTAAGGTTGCGCGATCTTGCACATCTCCAAAAGACTAGTTAGGAGAATGCAAGGATTGTGGTATTTAGGGAGAAAGTATTCATCGGAGTTGGAAGCGCCGACTTTGCAAGGATCCGAGTTGCAGTAGCAAAGGCCATATTTAACCCAAGTGAGCGATCATCAGTACGTTCTCTATGCTGACACTATCAGCTACTTGCAGCTCTACTCCGTTTCTCTTACATACTATCCCAGTGTCTGTTTCCACCTTGACATTCCAGGGGAATGAAACATAGCTGTCATGTTACACCCTCATCTCGACCTGATGAGAGGTTGGCTACTGCCACCTGGCGAATGCCGTCCTCACCTAGGAAGGAAGCCTAGGCTATACTATTAACATTTCAGGTTTAGACGAACAAGTATATCGAAATCCATACAATAGACGATTGGGGTGGTTCTCTTCTAGCTAGAGGTGTTTGTTGCGTAGGGCCCACTCCGCACTATAGACCAGAGAAATAATATTTTCGAATTTGGTAGTGCTGTCGTTGTAGCACTGACCATGTTGAGTCACAGGACCAATTAGTTATTCTAAGAGAAAGCTTGAGGTGAGTACATGAAAATTCCAAGGATTAACGAAAGGACCAGGTCAGAGGTCAAATGATTCTTGCTTCGAGCGTTAACAGTCTCCTCCACTATCAGAGTCTGGTAGTCAAGCTGCAATTAATACGTAGTTGGGTTCATGAATGGAGCTGGAGCTACTAATGGAGAGCCCCCACAATGCTATCCAAAAGGGAGGGTGTTTTCATTATGCATATATTTACGCCACATGTGATTTCGGAGTACGCCGAAGCATGGGGTAAACGCTCTTAAGCATGTTATTAGTAATAGGCACACAGGTCTAATCTGCAGATCCTCAAAGATGGGAGGCTTAGAATAGAGTACAGAGCCAAAAGAAGAAGAAAAGCATAGAAGTTGAAGTTGGATTTAAACATGGCACGAAAGGACCTCGAGATACAAGTACTTACCCAAGGACGTAGTAACAATGCAAACCAATAGGTAACCGCCCAAACTGATAAATCTAAAAGGCTTCCAAATCAACTCGTCTGGCCACCAGTTGTAAAATCAGAGAATTCCCACCAAGAAACAAGTTCAATCTCAATCTGGAGCGGACCATCATTCCTACCAATCAGGCGCCATGGTGAGAGGGATCGACCAGTGGTTCTTTGTAGATTGTGACTTCTCTGGCCACGGCAGCAAAAGGCGCCTGAGAGGCCGCAGGGCCCCACAGCGTACTGGTCCAATCAGCAGCGTTTTAGGCCGTGTCGGGCAGGCGGTGGGAGTGTACAGCCACCCAATGATTCCCACAATATTCTAGAAAGCCCGCTATGAGTGGCCAAAACCGTCAGCTTCTCCGCGTCCGTGGGCCAGCCACAATGATGAGGTTTCAGGCTTTCAGCATGACAAACATAGCCTCACTCCCTCATTTAACTCTGAAGGACGGAAGATTAATGAGTCTTTTGGACTGGTTAGAATTGAACGCGCTGATGCACCTTCTGGGAAAGTTCTTATGGTGTCCTTTTCCATAGAGGTAAAAGGTTTTTAGCAAATAGACTACGCATCCTTAATGTATGAATGTACGTATGTACGTACATACATACGGAGTGGGTAGTAGCTGGTTCGTCATTTTAGACATATATCCGGAGGTCCCTTACCTTATCCTCGGGTCAGTGTCTATGGCAATGTTCCTCCGGCCATGGATTCCCCTCCTTTCTATCTACTATTTGGACAGGGGTTTTTCAAAAATCAAAATCCAATCCGAATGAAATAACCCACAGCACAGCATCACCAGTCCTGAATGGAAGTACTGTTGTAGTTAGGAGGTTATGCGTTGCACCATGCGCCTCGAAGTACGCTATTAATACTCCACATCCAGCTATTACCTAAATTACCGTAATATGACTGATGTGTGGCGATTAATTACGCACCGGGCAATTCGATCTGATCGGACTTCTTCAATAGATCTGTAATCTGTACGCCATGCCGAGGGGCATTCCGACAAAATGAATCAATGCTGCGCCTCTTTTGGTGCCTGGCGACCCATCCTCACGTATTGAGAGGTTACGGTATCTTACAGAGATGACGCCGGACAATGTATAATTCCGGTGTCTAGCCCACTATTCCGTCAGGCAGAGCCGCCTAGAGCCTGGTCATAAGTCGTCAGACCCAATGCTCTCTCCAGCCACTGCCTCACCTCGTGTTCGTCTTCTCTCAACTTCGAACTTTTGCTTCCTTCATTTCGTGCTCGTTTGTTTGGCTCATTTCCCCTCATCTGGGTCTTTCTTTGACTTTTCTCTCTCTCTCTCTCTCGCTTTTATTTTTATTTTTATTTTGATTTTGCTTTTAAAATATCTCTTTCCTAGGCAGAACTACGGCCTCCGCCTTCCAGGCACCTTTGACCCAAACATATTTCGGGACCGCAACTAAGCCAGCAACTGCATCATCTCCTGGATCCATCCGTTCTGCCACAGCCTTTATCAGGTTTATCCATGTCTTTCAACCCACCAACTTTTCTTCCTAACAACCGGGTCCTGTAATTATCCTTTTCCTATTCTGTATTGGTCTCTCCACTGCATGTCTCTTGTGAGCCTCTGTTTCTTTTTTATTTTATGTGATCCTTTTTTTTTTTTTTTTCTTCCCCTTGAAGGTTGAGGCTTGGTCAACCTAAGTCTCCATCCAACCACCCGCTCATTCCCTAAACTTGTATCCTCCTCTGGTTTGTTCCCTTGACATCTTCGGCTCTACACACCCCTTACCTTCTATCAATCACTCGTGATCCATCGCGTTCGGCAGTAAATTGACGCCTTGTCAATAATCTAGTTTTGCATGAATCTTCTTTCCATCGTTTCCCCGACAATCGCTAGTTCCAGCTTCCTCTGGAGCCTAATTTGACGTCTCCCATTCAGCTGTGCTTCCATCTCGATCCCTCCAGATGGGTTAACCTCAACCAGACTCGGATCGATCAAGCAGACAATAGAATTAAGCATTCTCATTCTGCTTGCAAGGCTGATCGCTATTTTTATCATACTGCTGCAAGGCCCATCCTGTTCCCGTGGGACCTAACTGTCTGACGAAACATCGCCAAAGCTGAACCCCCCCCGTCAGCTTGCGCCACAATCGGATCCAGGTAAGCGCCCCACGCGACAGTGCCTCTGATGGTTCTCACTTGTTCTCTTGTCTTGCTTGGCTCATTGGGTCCTTGTTGCATCAAATGCCCTTTATTTCACCTGCTATCCGTGGTTATCAGACTTCCACCCTACAACTGTTTCGCAACTCTCTCAACATTGGTTCACTGACATGAGTTCCGCCGAAGTAGCTTCCCCGTTCTTTCGCCAACCATTCCAGGCTGGCGAGAGGCACCCGTTATCCATGGCTGCGTTGATGCAATCGAATAACGAACCTGTTACCATTTCTAACTCATTGCCCGGGCCCTCCGCCTCCATCATCTCAAGCCCGCCGGAATCTGTCGCCTTCCTGAAGCATACGAAACCAGACTCGAGTCTTACCTCCATTGCCAGTGCCGGCTTAAACGTCTCACGATCAAGAGAATCGTTGCCACCCATGACAACGACTGCACAGCCAGTTGGTTCGGTGGATCGACTAGTAGAACATGAGAAGGAGCCGGAGCAAAACAGCTCACAGGTAGCGAGAGAAGCTCTCGGTGCAACCGAGAAGCAACAAATGAATTCGCTTAATGATTCTATACATATGTCCGATCAGATGCAGGTCGATACGCATTCGACTTCGGGCAATGCGGCGGATGCCTTTGGAACGGCCGATAACAGCACGTCCCTTATGAATACCTCAACAGTTGCCAGTCCTGGCCCGATAGAAGATTCGGCTTCACAGGATGGGGATCGTCCACGTCATAGGGACGAAATGGACTTGCAGGATGCAAGTAACAAGTCCTTCTCTTACCCTATGCCGACGGCAGGTCTTGGTGATCCCCGTCGTGGCCTGAGCTTACCAGGTTCTGGATTCAATAAGGCCGGCCAGCGATCACCATCGGCCAAAAAACACCGTTGCCCATACTGTTCTACGGAATTCACAAGGCATCATAATCTAAAAAGCCACCTTCTTACACATAGTCAAGAGAAACCGTACGTGTGCCAGACTTGCCAATCGCGCTTTCGAAGACTTCATGACTTGAAAAGACACACGAAGCTCCACACCGGAGAGCGTCCACACATTTGCCCCAAATGCGGGCGTCGATTTGCTCGTGGTGACGCTCTCGCTCGACATAACAAAGGACAAGGCGGATGTGCGGGTCGTCGGGCGAGCATGGGAAGTTACGCTCCTGAAGATGAATACGGCGACGCTGGGGTCCATCCAGGTGCGGAGGACACGATGGATGGCCTCGTCTATGCAGAGCCCGAGCATATAGATGAAGAGGATGAACGCCGCATGAGCATGCCCAGCATTAAAAAACATGATATTCCCACAGATTCGATCACACGATCCAATACCGCAAATAGTTATCAACCGCGGCAGCCGAGCACGTATCCCCCGATTGCCGCTGGTAGACCATCTCCAGGGGGCCTTTTCCCGCCTCCTGCCAGTCACGGTGGCTCCAGCGCATCGGCATCCCCCATCTCGCAGCCCGGTAACTTGACATTTCCACCTCCTGGCCAGCATTCGGGAGCCTCAATATTCCAACCATCAAATGTCACCGAAAGCCCAAAGCCGCTTTCACCAAATGCACTATCTTCGCACCAGCTCGGTCATGGCCCTGAACTTCATCGCGCTCATTCTCCAGGCATGGCGCAGTCATTCCAGCAGCAACCATATACCAGGTCGGGGTCTTCTCAGGCATCTGTTGCAAATCATACCGCTGGCAGTTTAGGCCTTCCCCCACCACAGCCTGGTGCTCCTCAGCTTCCTCCACCGCCTGGAATGAACACCTCAGATTCTCGATTTTCAATTCACTCTCAGAACTCTGTGCAACCACCACCGGCCGCTACGAAACATACACCACCCCACAGCCATTCTAGCAACCATAGTGGGCCTCTGGCATCCAAAACAGGCCCGGAGGTGACCGCAAATAATAATGGGCACCTTCCGGGACCGCATGACTCGAATTATGCTGATCAGAATCGTGAGCGAGAGGATAAGCTATGGACATATATTCGTTCTGTTCATGAAGAACTAACAGGATTGAAGACCGAAGTAGCGGCTTTAAGGGCACAGCTTGCATCAGCAAACGTAAATACACTGACATCATCGACTCCAAGTGCCACACAACCTCAGGTTGAGCCGAGCACTGTCAGTGCCGGCCAACGGTGATTGCAAGCTGCGTTCCACTCATACTCAGGTGTTTTCAGACTCCTACCTGCTACCGAAGGCATCCGGTTGATGATGATAACTGTTGATTATCTTCTTGACATATAACTGGACTAACTCTCGAAGAATGTCAATACCCTTCACATGTCCTACTGCATGTGTCCCCATTTTGTCATGATTCCTTGTCAGTGTTTCCACTTTTCTTTTGTTGACACCTTAATGCCTTGACGAGACAATATCTAAATTCAACGAAAGACCTGTTGCGAGGCTGGTCCAATCTTCTTTAGTGATCCACCTAGTCTCTAATTTTCCTTCTTAACTCTGTTTTTACTACACCTTTCTTTCCCTTGGCGTCATCTTTTTCACTTGATATGTTCACTCTTTCAGGATAGGGGTATGGAAGTGTTTCACGTACAGAGGTTATTCTACCTTCCTCCTCATCCTAGTCTTGATTTTCCCTTCCCAATAATCCTATAATAATTACTCACCCCCTCATTGTCCTACAACTTGTCCGGAATCAGCATACCATATTTCTCTTTTTGGTTTTACAGATTTTAGGAGCAGGGAGTATGAGGGCGGCAAAATGTGTTACTATAACTCAATTCTGGCAGCGTATGCACGTGGCAGGGTCAATCTCTTCACTATTAATAGTATGGAGTAGGACGGGAGCAACTACTGTCTCCCCAAGAATTCGGCTCGGTACCCCTAGCAAACCTTTAGCATCTAGGTCTCCCAGTGCACGCATTGCGTAGCGTTTGTAGTTGAGCTCTCTGGTCACACTGAGATCTCTTTTGGGCCGTCCAGCCGATGAACAGCCCCACGTCGGCCACTATGGCTTTGGGGTCTCCGCCCAACGTCCAGCTCCGCTGTATCCACTGGGCGATTGCCCCGCCGGCGTTCGATGTAGTGGCCATAGCCCATTCTACCCGGTCAGACATAACCACTACCTGTTCCACACTGGCATATGATGCAAATACAGTATTTTTGGGGTGCCAAGGCAGTATTTCTTTCGCGCAGCAGGTTCGGAACTAAGCCCCCCGGTTCATGCGTGAGGGGAATTCGAATAGTCATGAACCCTGTGCCTCGAGATATGGGGAGACAAGCGCAAATAACTAAGACAATGAAAGAGTGGGTAGAAATTAAAGCCTTAGGGTGAAGTGTGTGGGTGATAAGGTTGACTGGCCGATATATCAGTTATTCGCAGGAACAGGTAAAACTAGCCTTGAGGTATTGCTAACCAAGTAGCGACCAGCAGAAATTCGACCTATTCTCTACATCATGGGGGAGAATGCTACGTATAGATGAAACAAGGTTGAAAGTAGGCCAAAACACAACCCGGGTCGCTGTACACTCACCAGACATGTCAACCTCCTGCCAGCCGCCTTCGATCTCCCTCTCTCGCGGCCAATCCAACAACCGCTCTACCCTGGTCACACTGGAAGTGTACTCCATTTCATTCTTCGTATGGTGTTCCTTCAATTCGTACTATGATTCCTCCTAAGACGCTGACCCGTCCACCGGCGCATTCTGGTAAGCACTCTTGCGACAGACCCAGAAATGGGGCGGTGGTGGCGGTGAGTGACGAGGCCTTCGCTGTTTGTGGAATGTAGTTGAGACTGAGGTTATGGGAGAATCGGCGTCTGTCAAAATGAAACCTTGAAATCCGTGGGGTGGGTGAAGAGATTGGGCATTGTCAAGGGATGGATGGAAAGGGAAAACAGTAGAGAAATTTGGAGCGAGGCCGATAAAAGGAAGACATTACATCAGGACAGTAAAGAAGACTACAATGGGGATAGATTAAGGGTGGGCAGAGAAGCAGAGACCTCGTAGTAGAGGCGGAGATTCATTGATGAGCAGTCCGGAGGTCCGTATCACTCACTCCTTTCAAGTTTTTCAGGGGAACAACCACCCCAATCTCAACCCCCACCCCCAGATATTCATTGTACCGTAATCATATCATAAATGCTAATGTCATTACACTATTCCAACACGGTAATTGCCCGTATCCAACGTTGCTCCTCGTCATGCTGGAAATATATGTGTACAAATAGTTGGAGTCTAGCTAGGCGTCACAGCACAATCGCACTCCTAACGCGGGGTATATCTCGTTCTATACTAGTCATATCCGGACAGACGGTCAATCATAGACAACGTACCCCCGGACCAACACTACCGGTATCGAATATCTCGATCAAACCGGCTCCGAGGGCTTCTTCTAGAACCCAGCGAAAATTCATTCCGCATAATTCTTTCCATTTCTTCGTTCTACCTGGCAAAATGCCCGCGTGCTCGCCTCTTATTCTCTTCGCCGCACTGAAACTTTTATCTGTTTCGACGGCTCCATCCCAGCGATCTCGGAGAAGATGAAGGGGCACCTCGCTAGAGTTTGATTTTCTAATAAGTGCGAGGAGATGCGCTCTACCAGAGCTTAGAAGCCTAAGGTAAGGCCCTGTGTTTGGCAGGGATAGGAACAAAACTGTTGTATGGCATCGAGAGCGGCTGCCGCCTTCTTTGTCATCCAATGCAGCGGGATCACCTCTACTGGCCGAATTTCCGGATGAAGACGTGGGGGGGAAGGTCGGAAGCGATATTATACCCGGAGATCCCTTGACCGAAGACGAGGACGAGACCAAAAATCCAGCACGGACAAGCGCCATACACTCTGGGGCAGAAAAGAGTGTATCAGGGACAGCAAACGTGACATCTGGTCGACTGAGCACGTCCAAAAACTTGTCTGAAAATAGAAGATTAGCGATTGGAAGCCTAAGTCTCACAGAGGCAAGCAATACCTTTCAGATGAGATCCTATAGAACTATCTCGCACAAGCCTTTCCCAGTCCTCCGAGAGAACTAAGCAATCCCCTAACCCAGCCGCATCATTTCCTCTGCCCGGAACAATTAGTCGACGGATTCTGCCAGAATTTACAGAGTCCACTATCTCTCTCTCCACCTTCGTTGGTATATCCAGTAATGTGTGGACGTGGGCTACCGAGGCGAGCGGTGGCAGTGACCGGCGAAGATTCAATAACTCGGCGACACGGGTGCTGTTCATGCCTGTTCGAGTGGGAAGGTCCTCGAAAAAACTATCCCTGATGTGACATATGGCCTGAATAACATCCTCTACTGGAGTAGTCTCTGGGATGTATCGTGACATTCCAATATCCGGAAGTGGCCCTGGGCCATACTCTTCCCGGAATTCGCCACTGGGGTCATTGGATTTGACATCGGTGAATGACTGTGCGATAGCTCTGCGACGAGCATGACTGGCAAATGGAGAAGAGCGAAGCGCTGTGTTGGATGGTTTCCTTCTTTTCTTGACACCAGAAACAGGAGCAGAGGTGATGCGCAAGGGCATGGTCGAGACGGGAGAGGGACTCCGACCTCCCATCAGCGGAAGAGATGCCGCTAATGAAACATACAGTATGTATGTACTCCGTATTATATTACTTATCTGATAAGAAGCGATATGAGCACGTGATTTGCCCCTCACCTTACTAGATCCCGCCAATAAGAACGACCAACCCATGGCTATACAGAAAGTCTGTTAACATAGTGCGCATCTATCGCCGTGTTAGTGGTATGATGTACGATGTTGTAGACCATGCTGCCTAGGCAAAATCTTGGTCAAGTATAAGAAACTTGGGCTGCTTCCGTGTTTGGTGGGATTCCAGCCGACCGACAATTCTCTCGGTGGGACTGCAGCAACAAGTTGTTGAGCAGGGCCTCTCTTCACATGACGTAGTGATGAGGGAGGATTTGTGCCTCAGTCCAACCATCGTCATCTTTAAAATCCTCCCCCGCGCTCCCGCATTCAACATCAACAGGCTGTTCTTCGCCTGGCCTTGGTTGCGCCAATTTTTCGGTCTAAGAAACACACTTCTGTCACTGCGGTCTAGAATTTCGATCATCATTTCAATTGCCCGTCTCTTTCTCCTCTTTCTTCCCCGTTTTTGTTTTGTGTTGCTGAGCGCATTTGGAAGCTGCCACAATGACGATTTATATCGCTTCGCTGTATGTCGATTACCTATGTCTCTTCTTTATTCTCATTCGGTCTGCTGCTGATACGCTTAACTGGCGATAAACTAGTTTTCTGCCATATACCGTTAATTTCCACCTCAATGAGACGAAAGATCGCCCACTCCAAACAGGCCCTGAGTCGTCGAAGCCTGGCGCGGAGACCTCAGCTTCAACAGCCAATGCAGCGGTCAGCTTATTCGAAAGACAGAATCGCGATCAAAAAGTCGGCCTCACACCTGGCGCCACCACCGAACATGAGCGAATCTTCTCATCAGATCTCGCAAAGGCGGAACAGCAGCATTCTGGATATCCATTCCCGGATATAACTCAAGATGGAAGTCTACTAACGGAAAGTGAAGCACACTCTCCTGCATGGGGTTCAACGTTGTCCTTGAACCAGCCGCGACCGCGGGCAACTGTTCCGCCGTCCCCATCCATCCTTAAGCACCAGGAGCCTGTTACTCCCATGACAGAGCCTTCCCCCAAGAGATCTGATAAGGAACAGAAACCACTCTACACTCATCGCCCTAGCGGGGTCCACCACAGCAGGGAACCCAGCCGTAAGGGTTCCTTCTCCAGCGCCGAATGGACAATCGAGACGGCAGAGCAGGGCAATGGGGGGCTTCGCAACGCTGTTCGGTCTGCAACAGATGCAGGACAATTAGAAGACAAGGTCTGGGTTGGTACGCTGGGAATGCCGACAGATGCATTGTCTAAGTACACAAAGTCTGCAATTGCTGAAAGGCTTGAGGATGAGTACGACTCGTTGACTGTATATGTCAGCGACGGTGATTTTGATGGCCATTATACTCACTTCTGCAAAACCATACTCTGGCCTGTGTTCCACTACCAGATTCCTGACAACCCGAAAAGCAAGGCATATGAGGATCACTCCTGGATCTATTACGTTAAGACCAACCAAGCATTCGCAGAGCGAATCGCTCGAAACTGGAAGCGCGGAGATTCAATATGGATTCAGGACTATCACCTGTTGCTGGTCCCGGCTATGCTTCGTAAATTACTACCGGACGCCCAAATTGGTTTTTTCCTACACATTGCTTTCCCATCTTCGGAAGTTTTCCGTTGCTTAGCCCCTCGTAAAGAACTGCTCGAGGGCATACTAGGTGCAAATCTCGTTGGCTTTCAGACTGAGGAGTACTGCCGACATTTTCTTCAGACGTGTAGCCGTATTCTCTGTGTTGAGGCCACGAATGAGGGGGTCCAGCTCGAAGATCGGTTTGTCAACGTGAACAAGTTCCCAATCGGCATCGACCCTACTTCATGGGACAAGCGACGTAAGGCCGCTGACGTTGAACAATGGGTCAAAACCATCTCCGAAAGATACGAAGGAAAACGATTGATCGTTTCACGCGACAAGATTGACGGAGTTAGGGGAATACGGCAAAAACTGCTTAGCTATGAGCTATTTCTCAATACGTACCCTGAATGGAGGGACCAGGTATGTGGCCTATTGTACAATTGTCCTAGGCTCATAATTGCAGGGATGTGACTGATCATCCATGTGTAGGTAGTATTGATCCAAGTCGCAACCAGTACAACAGAACAACCCGAGCTTGAAGCTACAATTTCTGATATAGCTATGCGAATCAATTCTACATTCTCAACCCTAGCGCATCAACCGCTGGTTTTCCTCAAGCAGGATCTCGCTTTCCCGCAGTATCTCGCCCTAATCTCGGTTGCAGATGCTTTGATGATTACCAGTTTACGTGAGGGAATGAACCTGACGAGTCACGAGTTCGTTTACTGCCAAGATGGAAAATATGGTAACAAAAAGTATGGTTCCCTGATTCTGAGTGAATTCACGGGAAGTGCATCGGTATTCGGGAATCATGCTCTTTTAGTCAACCCCTGGAATTATCGGCAATGTGCGGAGGCGATTCACACAGCTCTATCGAGGAGCGAGGAGGAACGCAAGCAGGTGTGGACTCAGTTACACAATGCAGTTCTTCAAAACTCCACTGCCAACTGGGTCAAATCCTTCAGCGAGACTCTGAACCGTGTCTGGAATGAGCAGTCGTCGCGTGAGATTATGGCCGTTCCACGGCTGTCCGTCAGCAAACTCGAAGAGGCTTATCGAAGGTCCAATCGCCGGCTTATCATTGTGGATTACGAGGGTACCCTAGCCTCTTGGGGTTCCCCAAAAAGCATCATTGTCACTACACCGCAGCGAGCCATTACGACACTAACGGAACTAACTGAGGATCCTAGGAATATAGTATTTGTCATGAGCTCTAGAATGCCAGAGGAGATGGAGCGATTATTCCGGATGGTGGCGGGCTTAGGCCTCATTGCGGAGAACGGATGCTTCGTGCGCGAGCCGAAGACGGACGAGTGGTTCAAGTTGACAAATAAGGCACAGACTGACGCTTGGAAGGAGGCCGTCCGCCAAATTCTCGGTTACTATCAAGAGCGGGCAGAAGGCAGTTGGATCGAACAACGTCACTGCTCTCTCATGCTCCACTATGGATCGGCTGAAGACCAAGCGGCTGCTTCTCGACTAGCTTCCGAGTGCGCAGACCATATCAATGACTCCTGTGCCAATCAAGGAGTCCATGCCGTGATGATGAATGGGGCACTTGTGGTAGAGCCGGCTGACACGAATAAGGCGTCAGCCGCGGCTATGGTGTGGCGGCATTGCCTTGAACGAAGCAAGAGCGATCATAGCGCCCGACCAGATTTCCTGATGGCTATTGGGGATGGTCGAGATGATGAGCCGGTTTTTCGGTGGGCGAACAAACTTGAGACCGCCAAGGGAGTCGACTATGCCATGACGGTGACGTTGGGATCCCGTAGCACGGAAGCTAAAGCAACCCTAACTCAAGGGGTGACAGGTCTGTAGACCTGCCAATCATCGATGGAGATTGTCGTGCTAACTACATCTTTTTTTAGGCGTCCTTTCATGTTTGGAGAGATTGGCTGCATCCTCGCTCGAGCAGTGATTAGCTATTTTGGCGGGCTTAGAGGCTCGTCGGCACAACTCTACGTATAATGGTATCGAACAAATAATTGCGTGCATATGTTGAAATCGAGACGCCAACCGAAATCGAAGGCAAAAGAAAAAGAAAATGAGAAAGCGTGGTGTATTGGAGTGTTGTAATGGGACTCGAATGGGACATTTAGACTGTTACTACAGATAGGCTGGAGCATTTTAAAAATGGTATGTACTGTGCTTCTTTCGTAGAGCAAGTTCGCAGACCCTAGAATTGTATGTACCTTGCTTTGCGTTGACGTCTGGTAACTACTAGTTAGCCGAACGCAGCGTTAGTCAGCCTTTAGGTTCAGGTACAGTACAGTACATACATTTAATACATACATGCGACACCGTTTCGGTTGGACGTAAGGACATACCGAGGCTTTTGCGGAGAGGCAAATGCTTAATTAAGCTCCAATGTTCCGTGGGCCAGTACACAATGCCCGCATGGTCATATCCTCATTTATACTACTACCTCAGTGATTGAAACAAATCACCCTTAGTCTTCAATTCTCGCTGCGTGATCAGATTTTCGAAACACAACCCTAGCCATGACTGCTCTGCCAGCGAACAGCCCTGCATTCGAGGAGGCTATTAAGGTGACGCCGCTTGAGTCCCATCGGTATTCAGCGTTCCTACGGGATGAATGGTGCATCGGCACAGGTATGCTCTATCCCGATATCCCATTTTGCGCTGGCCTGTTCTTTTAGAGTTGTACCATGGGAAAAAGGAAAGCAACTGAGTGATCGCAGTCCCACACGGCGGATATACAACCGCTGTCATATACCGACTTGCTCTTACTCATTTCGCACATACACACCCGACACTATACGATGCGCCGGCAACCCCGATATCTCTTCAGCTTTCGTTTCTGCGTCGCACGGCTGCTGGCCCAGCCATACTGACAGTGCAAGATATGAAATTGGGGGCACGCACCAGTACAATCCATATCAACCTATGCCAGCCGAGTGAGAAGAAAGCAAAGAACGGTGAACTAGAAGTCAAGGTTGCCGGCTATATCACTGTGAGTCCGCCTACCGCGGAAGTAGGCATCAGCTCCAACACCGGCTGGAGTCTACAACCAGCTGCGCAACCTGGAACAGGGCCGAATGGCAGCGTGAACCTGGCGGCGCTGGGCCAAACCGGCCGCGATGGTAAATGGGTGCTTCTCCAGCCACCATATCCCAAGTTCCGCCGAGCAACCCTGCAGCTCGAGCTGTATGGACCCAACCCGGCTTTAGGGAAGCCTAAAGTGATCGATCAATGGTCCCGATTTCGGCCGGGCGGAGATCGCGAGGCGCGGTGGACCAACGAAGCCGTGGCGTTTCTAGTGGATATGTTCCCGATGGCGCTTGGTGGGCTTGATCAAATGGCGTCGGCGTCCACACCGTCACAAGAATTAGCGGAGAAAACTGCCCGGTTTTGGTACCCTACCGTTACTTTGAATATCGACTTTAAAAAGCGCTTGCCTGTGCAGGGCGCGGAATGGCTATACAGCCGAATTCATACTAAAGTGGTGCGCGATGGCCGAACAGATCTGAATGTAGTGATACTGGATGAGCAGGGTGACGTGGTGGCGTTGAGCACGCAGGTGGGTTTGGTGTTGAGCGCCAGCCGGAACCTAGGACAGCGGCAGACAAAGATATAATTGGTCTATGTTCTTTTTTCTCGTGGCAAGATATATGTATGTACATAGATAACTCTCACGTGGTAGATCTGGTTCTATATATACAGCAATCATGGCCTCTAATATATCCATGGGCGACGATATATATGCATCGCAATCGATATTTTCGAGTTGTTTTACAGTTTTGACGTGGTCTGCAGCCAGAAAGCCATGGCATCAGTAGTGACGACCAACTGGTCTGGATTTTCTTCATCCGCTTGAAGGACCTGAGCGCGCACCCAAAACTTTCTCCCCACACGGCCGACCACTTTGGCACGGATGATCAGCAATCCAGGAACAGCGACAGGTCTCTTGTACCGTACATCTAATTGCGACGTGTATAATTTCCCACGAGGAGTTTCGTCCTCCCCGCTTCCCTTGTGATCGGAAGCGTCCAACTCGGGAGGCGGAGAGTACAGGGTTACCGCCAACGACATCGTCTCGTCGATACATGTTGCGATAATACCACCGTGAGCCGTCGACGGGTGGCCACTCACGCCCGGTGTCGCCAGATCTAGCAGCATGACAATGTCCGGGGGTAAGACAGACGGCTCTGACGAGACCGGATCATCGGTGGGAGAGGGCCACGGCGGACGGGCGGCGGAAAGCGAAGGAAGCCACCGACGACGGAGCGTCAGACAGTGAGGAATAGTGATCGAAGTCGCCAAAGTACCAGCGAAATAGCCATCTTCGCCGGTGGAAGGTTTCGGAAGACGTGACCAGGTGTGGATGGGATAGTATTCTGGGTGGTTGAGCAGACGGTTGGCGTGGGGATGGGAGCGAAAGGGATCAAGAGATGCTTCTTCCGTTAAGGGAACATTCATGATGGAGGCGGGTTTGACATCAATCATCTTTTCTTTCTTCGTATGTTCATATGTTCGATTCATTGCAAGTTCTCTTTTCTCTTTTCTTATTTCTTCTTAGGGAGGAGATGTATGATATACAAAGGGAAATTTAAACCGCACCGGCAGAATGGACAGGAAGAAAGCAGAGTGGGTTGTTTCTTAAATGTTAAGACTTGAAGTTTTAATGCCTATACTCTGATCGATCATTTGGGTCCAGATACTCTAACTAGGTAGTAGTGGCACCTCAGCTGCCTTCAACCTCGGCTACAAGTTCGGCTGCCCGATTGGCCCCCCTCACATTGAGGTAAAAACCTAACTTTTAAACTTGAAGCTGGACCCTGGAGAGGTCAATTATTGGCTAAGTGGTGAATCCAGCAAAATAAAACTATTTCATCCATAAGTGGTATGCGACCAATTATTAATAGTAGTGTTAACATAACTATGCAGAAGAATTGCAAGGAATGAATGAATTGGGTAGAATTGGTCACTGGCAGAATTCTTCCCCATCAAAGCAGGACATTACATACCGAACAAAACAGTAGTGCTCGAGATACTACTACTGCTACGAGTTAAGTTCACTCGACAAATTCCACACCCTCCATGTCCATATTTCAAACCTGCACTAGCGTGAAAACTGCCGGAACCGACGGCCTCTATTGGACTTAGTTCCGTCCCTAGATCGATTAAACCCCTCCAATGGAAGGAAGATCCTCGTTGGGCACATTCCAATCATGGAATTTTAGTTTCTGCTGTGGTATGGAACGAAATTCTCATCCATAGTTACAGGGTCCAGGTGGGAAGCAAAGAAAAGAAAAAGAAAAATAAAATAAAATTGAAACCGGGAAAATGGTGGTGGTGAAAAAAAAAAAAAAAAAAAAAAGGGACCCGAAAAAATATTACATACAATAAAATAATACCTTCACCTTTATTGTTATTCCCTCTCACTTCAATTCCTATTCCATAGCTTTGTCTCTCTGACTGTTTAATTAATTAAATCAAAATCAATAATGCAAGTAATAAAAATAACAACAATAACAATAAAAGATACTCATGAGAAACAGGTATCATAAGGAATCATGTTCCTGTCTCATTGCCTGGTCCCTAGCGTGTGTTACCCCCGCTTGCGATATAAACAAATACCCATTCAATAGTACTTTCCCAGCGGTTAGTGACCTTGTTTTAGCAGCTATACCGTTGCTACACTACTGTCACTGCAAGATAAATACCTCCCCCGGCTTAAATTTCCGCTTCTTTCCTCTTCCTTGTTTCGCCCCTTGTGGTTTCTCTTTTATCTCCTGCCAATTCTCTTCCCCTTTCAAGAATTGTTTCTATCTCCTTCCCCCCCCCCCCAGCTGCTTTTGTACAACCTTCTTCTCTCGCCATCCTCTACTCGCCTTTTCGCGTCTGGTCCATATCATAGCCTTACTGATCGATTGAGGACTTCATTACTATCCATCCATACATTCATACATACACACACACACACACACACACACACACACACACACACACACACACACACACAACCCCCAAACTCCATTTACGACCATTATGTTGCCGATCGTATTTCTCTCCACTTTGGTGGCCTCCGCTACTGCAGCGACCACCGCCAGCAACTATACTTTCCCTGAGGGATTCGATCTGAACCAGGTGAAACCCGCGGATAAGTGTAGGTTTTCGTCCTGGTCGTGATTGTACAACATGCCTATGGCATGATCCACCGGTACGGCCGAAAAACT